ATTATTGTTTTAAGAAGCATATCTTATGATTCATATTGTTTGATCTGCAATTGAGATTATTTATGAGATAAAATGAATCATTCTTATTTTCTTAAGATTGTGTTACGTTCTCTTTAAATATATCATGAAAAATTATAAATTATTCTATATTGCATTTAAAGATGACAAAAAATTTGACAGTGATTCACATGGATTAAGAATTTGTCTAATGAGAAACAGAAGTTCTTACATGTTTTTTTCTTATAGGGACAATATTGTTCATTTAGCAAAGGAAAAATAATAGTAAAGATAAAACAAAAAAAATATTTAATGATAAGAAATATGAATAATGATAATAATACTTTAAATGATTAAAACGATTTATACAAAGTTTTATTATGATTCAAATTGATTTTTTTGTAAATTATTAAAATTTACTACAGAATTTGAAATTTACATCTTTGTTGTCAAATGATATTTATATTTATTTTTCAAATTACATATAAAGACATTCCATACAAATGTCGAGGCTATTATAAAAATCGGAAATAGTAGCAAATAATATAAGTAGACTATAAAAATATTTTATTTAATAAAAAAATGTTCATTAATTCTTTTATTTATATATACAACATTCAGTTTTATCTAGAAAATATAAATATTAATATTTTCAATTCAATCACATTTTGCAGAGACTACAATTTATTTTTTTATTTATTTAATTTAAAATTTATTGTAGTTATTTTCATATTTTGTGTGTATGTTTTATGATACACATTTAGATAATATAATAAATATCTCTTAACAAAATATTTTAAAGATATTTAAAAATATTTAAAAAATGTTAAAAGATTTATTTTTTATATATTAGTTTTATTGTTACATATTTAAATAATAATATTAAGAAAATTTTTTATTTATATTAAATAATATTTAAATATTCTTTTTTCTTTACTACTTCTTCTAATGTTCTTTTTTATACAAATAAATTAAACAAAATTCAAATAAGAAAAAATAAGTAAAAATACAAGAATATTATCTATGTTTTTAAAAAAAATTTGAATAAATTATATACACTATATAATTATGGATTTTCTTTCACATATTTTTTACATATATTATATATTTCTTTTATTAAAAATCCTTAATTTAAATATTACAAATATTAAATATTAAATATTAAAAATTATACAAATATTAAATATTACAAATATTAAAAATTATAAATCTTTTATGATTTTTACATGTAATTGTGTATATGCGATCGTAATCTAAATACATATGATTTATAAAATTGAGCTACTTATTCCAGCATTTTTACAATTTGACTTTTATTAGTAAATGCAGCATTAAATCAGAGAGTAAAAAGTGAGACTATATTCTTCTCTCTTTGTCGTAGGATTTTGATGAAACCTTTATTATGTTTCCAGTATAAACTATTCACATTTTTCCATTCTTTTCAATTTTTCTTTTAATAACTATTGATAACTATTGATATTGGTATTAATATTGTGATAAAACACAAGTGCATCTTGAACTCTCCTTAATAATGTTCTTAAAAAAGGAACGATTAATGAATGATTAATATAGTTAACTATCTGTTGACAATAAAAATATTTTGTATCATGTGTCATTGACATATAGATTGAAAGAGATTGTAAATTTCAATATTTTTCCATCTTTTTTTCTGTTTTATTAATTTTTTTCTTGTTTTATTCTTTTTTTTTATGAATTTTAAAATAAAGTCTGATCTTTTTTTATGACATTAAAATTTTTTATTTTATTATTCTATGACAATCTTTCATGTAGTAATTTTGACATTACAAAAGTTAATAAATAGATGAAGCATTGGACACTTCAAACAGAGGAATAATAATAATATCTGTTTTTAATATAATAATGGTATATTAGGCGATGATACATTTGTAGATATATTTGATGCCAAATTAGTTGATTCACTCTTATAACGTACTATATATTGACAATAAAAATATCTTGTGTTAATTTTAGAGTTGGCAAAATTCCACATTTTTGAATAAAATACATGCAAGTGGCAAGAATCAGTTTTCCGGGAAAACTGGCAAAAATCTTTTCTGTTAAAAATATAAAAATAATTAAAAATTTTTTCTATTCATATTCATCAATTAAGATACTGTTTTTATAATTTAAGCTTTATCCAAAATAAAAGCGTAATAAATTAGGAATTGATATAGCAAATAAATTAAAAAATTATAAAGTTTTTTAATTACAAAGTTTTTTGTTAAAAGATGTTAAAAAATGTTAAAAAATAAACGCGAATCAAATATATATTAATAAAAATTTTAAATTTTGTGTTATATTTCTTACTAAACTAAAAATTAATGTGAAATTTAATAATTTTTTTAAATTATTTATTCTAAAAATTTCACATTTGAATTTAAATTAGAAAAGATTTTATTATTATATTGATTTTATTTCTTTAATTAATAATTAACATGATTTATTATGAAAGCAAATATATCTTTTTGCATAAAGTTCATGTAAATATATTAGTATAAAGATTATATAAATATATTTTAGTATAAATATTAATCATTTTTGTAGTTTTTGTTCAGTTTATTCCATTGGATAAAGTTCAAGATAGTAGAACAAAAACTGGAATTTACCACAATTTTTTCCACTGACTCGATTTTTCCGACCTTGATTATTTTCTCATGACACATAACACAAAATATGTTTATTGTCATCAGTTAATTAATTACATTAGTCATTACTCCTATTTTTAAGTGCATTGTTCTTGCATTGTCTTCAAAAATAAGAATAGTAAAAGCAGTGCTTAAACAATAATAAAATACTAATAATAATAAAATATTTAAATAATAATAAAATATTTACGTACCCTATTTCGAAATTTGAAGGACATGGATTTCCAACATTTTTTTAAATAACAACAAGATCATATAATTAATATAAGAGATTTTATTGAGATAGAGAGACAGAAAACTTCATCACTTTCTCAAATATCATATACCACATATCAATAATTGAATTAAAATATAAATATAAAATGTGATAATTTCAAAATATTTTCTTTACTTTAAGTGTTTTAATTATTGTATTTAGAATTAAATTGCGAGATTAAATTATACTAGTAATAATAATAAATTTTTAATAAATTTTTAATAATATATGTTTGTTACAAATTATAAATGTAGTTATACAATTAGATACATGTAATTTTTCAAATATGTTTTTACAAATGTTAGCAAAAAGAAATAAATTTCAAAATCTAAAGTTTTTCAGATAGATTCTTGTGAAGTTTCTCTGCTTCTCTTTCTTTCTCTTCTTTCTTTTTTTATATTCTAATCATCACTACGCGGAAAAAACCTAATTTAGAATTTTAAGAAATATTGATAAGCTTATTTCTTCCGGAAATCAACTGCAAAGTTTTCGCATTTCCGCTTCTCTCTCGGCGAAACGTGAGAGCAAATGCATGAAACGGGCTACAAAGTTATCAGACCGTAAGTTCAACGAACTGAAGAAGAACCTTCAATGCAAAGTACATATTACAGTTGCTAGCAAAGACTGCGAATAAGTGAGAGTTATCTTAATAGAATTGATAATGGAGCGGATTAATTCGTTTCATGTTTTCTGTTCGAATAAGATGGAAAATTGCAAGTTGATTTATTCCGATTTTATTTTTCAATTATTTCAATTTAAGCAATAATAAATTTTTGTAAAATTAATTTGCAATACTAATACGAATAAAAATATATAAAAGAGGCAAATATTTTGAAGCATTAATTTTAAAAAAATGTTGAAAAGTAAAGCCCTTTTTTTCACACTTTATCGCCAGAACTCTATCAATTGCATTATACAGGGTGGCCCCGAACGTTCCAGCTAGACTTTGAGATCTTATAGGAAATTTAATTCTGAACAAAACATTTCCTATAAAGATGGGTCGAAAAATGCTTCCTTAAGAAGTTATCGTTCAAAAACTTCAAAAATAATTTTTTTTTAACTAACTTTTATTTTATTTTCATAAAAGAAAAAGATTTTTATTTTTTATTTTTATCATTTTTTTTCAAGAAATTTATTTAGTTTTATTTTTTTTTATTTCATTTTCTTTTCACCTTTTGCTCTTCCTTCATCAGAGGTTTTTGAACGATAACTTCTTAAGAAAGCATTTTTCGACCCATGTTTATAGGAAGTTTTTTGTTGAGAATTAAATTTCCTATAAGATCTCAAAGTTGTCTGGCTGGAACATTCGCCACCCTGTATAATTGTTAATTGCAAATTACATATTTTTTTCTTAAAAACAAACATGTTTTTGCTTTACACCAATTGATTCTTCTCATTATTTTGTACATAAAATTATTAAGGTAAGATAATCGAAAAATGAATGTTTTACAAGATATTTTACGGTTTATGCAAAATTAAGAAATGAATTCAAGCCTCATAACTCGAAAAGTACTCAATGAAGAAATACTTTATTATAGTGTTTTGGAAAGCTCTCGAGATAAGCTACACGAATATGTAATAAAAAATAGGGAGTTCCATTTAAGAAATTGACGGTGATCTTCACGTGACTTTCAAATGACTCTCCCATGTCAAATCATTGCCACTATCTGATGGCCCCCTTCAAGCCATATAACTTTTGTCTGAAACATTTCTTTCTAAAGTGCATAGTTTATGAAATATTCGACCGGTCCGGAACTTTTGGAACACTGTATATATTCAATGATAAAATTTTTTTTAAAACTAATGCGCTAATTTTAATTGTCAAAAAGGGGTATTTCTATTTCCTATTAATGATTGTTTATTCAATTAATGGATTTTTATTGTTGCTCAAGACATAATAAAACGTACATTTTATATTTGTTAAATTTCTAATATAATAATTAATAATTTTACATTTATACATATATTTATATACACATTATACTAAATTATGAAAAGTGAAATAAAAATTGAACAAAATTTTCTATTTTTGCAGGTAATGAAGAACTGATGAATTATCACAAAACTGAAAGCGAAAGACGATGGATTCAGCCAATAAGAAGCAGGCGGTCAACTCACCGGAAATGGCGTTGGCCAGCGAGGTGTTCGATCAGTTTTGCAATGCCACTACATTGAAGTCTATCCTCGGCTATTATAGACAATTGTGTGAATTGCTAAAAGTTCGACCGAATGTCATTAATCAGTTTTATCCAAAATTGAAGGCGAAGCTACGATCATGGAAGGCACAAGCGCTATGGAAGAAGTTTGATCAACGAGCCAATCACAAATGTTATAATCGTGGTAAAGCATGTCCGAATACAAGGGTGAGTTTATTTATTAATTTCTTACTTTGCAATTGTCTCTTCCTTACAAGAAACGTTTTTTTAAATGAAATATAATTCTTAAAAGATTCTCTCTTTTATGTGTGTATGTAAATCATATTTGATAATCGATTATCTTCTTTATTAGAAGATTTTTTTTATTCGAATAGATTATTTAAGTGATAAAATGTCTAAACATTCTAAAAGAAGGAAAATCTTATTACATTTTATATTGACTTATATATACTTATATAATTTTATGTCGTCAATATCCAGTAAACACTGTTATATTAATAATATAAAAGTAATAAAATAGAATGTTACAAGTAATATACAGTAATTAATAATATTATACAATAATTAGTAATTATTATATACTGTACTATGCATATTACTGGAAAGTTAAAGATTAATTGTAATTTCTTAAATTTTATTAATAAACATAGCTTACAATAAATGTTACATTAAATGTTACATACAATAAATGTACAATACAATAAATGTACAATACAATAAATGTTACATTGTTGTTACATAGTTATATTACATATATAGAATGTAATCGTATAGAATATTGATCATATATCTAGTTGGCAATTAAATAAATAAAATAAATTAAATATATATGCAGGGTGTCCCAAAAGTTCCGGACCGGTCGAATATTTCATAAACTATACACTTTAGAAAGAAATGTTTCAGACAAAAATTGTATGGCTTGAAGGGGGCCATCAGATAGTGGCAATAATTTCACATGAGAGAGTCATTTGAAAGTCACGTGAAGATCACTGTCAATTTCTTAAATGGAACTCCCTATTTTTCATTAAATATTCTGGTAGCTCACGTCGAGGGCTTTCCAAAACACTATAATTGAGTTAGTTTTCATTAAGTACTTTCCGAATTATGAGGCTTGAAATAATTTCTTAATTTTACATAATCCGTAAAATATCTTGTAAAATATTCATTTTTCGATTACTTACCTTATCGATTACCTTTTCGATTACTTATCTTACCTTAATACTTTTATGTACAAAATAATGAGAGGAATCAATTGGTGTAAAGGAAAAACATAGTTGTTTTTAAGAAAAAAATATGTAATTTGCAATTAACAATTACATTTTTTTTTTTAAAACAACTATATGTTTTCTTTAAATATTTGACCGGTCCGGGACTTTTGGGACACCCTATATATATATATATATATATATATATATATATATATATATATTTATTTATTTATTTATTTATTCATTTATATATTTAAATTCCTTATTGGGATTATATTAGAAATTAAACTGACAAAAAAAGATATATTTTAGATCTTACGTCCTTTCATGGTGAAAAAAATTGAATATAAAATAGTTAAGTCAGATTTCATGGCATAATGACAAGCGATGGAACACATATATAACGATATTATATTGCAATAACATTTTATTATATTACTTTTGTAACGTTGCAAAATAATAAACATGATATATTAAAATTTTGTGTCACATAACTTGTTTATATTGTTTATTACTTCTACACATTATATTATTATAATAATGTTTACTGGATACTTAATTTCATTCTGTCAATATAATATTATATTGAAAGACATTTGTCTCGCAAGAATATTTTTCCTTTATTTATCTTTAGGTTTTGATTATCGGCGGAGGCCCATGTGGTTTGCGAACAGCTATAGAGGCACAGTTGTTAGGAGCCAAAGTCGTGGTGATAGAGAAAAGGGACCGGATGTCTAGGAACAATGTTTTGCATTTGTGGCCATTTGTTATCCAGGACCTACGAGGTTTAGGAGCGAAAAAATTCTTTGGAAAATTTTGCGCAGGTTCCATCGATCATATTAGCATTCGGCAATTGCAATGTATTTTACTTAAGGTTGCTCTAATTCTCGGCATTGAATTCCATGAAAGTGTTAGTTTCGATTCTTTGATTCAACCACCGGACAATCAAGAAGATGGCAGTAAGTAATGATTAATGATTAATTATAGAATATTTTTGAATTATAGAATATTTTTGAAATTACTTAAAAATTACTTGAAAATTTTTTAATTATAGAATATTTTTGAAATTACTTTCAGATCACATAATAACTTAAACAAAATAATAATTGTTTGAGAATATAAAAAAGATCAGAGTTTCTGAAACATTTTTGGCAATTTAAAATAACTCAATAATACGAATAACTAAAAAGCTATTTTTCCTAAAAAGCTTTTTTCAAGTTCTTGACTTAAATATGTGAAAAAAATTTTGAGAAGATTTATCGATTCTCCTTTATTAACTTTTTTATTATAAAATGCTATTTCTCGTGTTCTTATAATTTTTATTCTATCTGTTATTTTATCTATTATTAAAAGATTGATATGACTTAGTATGACATAATTCGACCTATATCTATAAATTAACAATTAAGAATGAATATTATGATTATGATTTATTTATTAGATAAATAATAATTAATATTTTCAAAACCTCTGATGAAGGAAAAGCAAAAGGTGAAAAGAAAATGAAATAAAAAGAAAATGAAACTAAATAAATTTCTTGAAAAAAACGATAAAAATAAAAAGTAAAAATCTTTTTCTTTTATGAAAATAAAATAATTTTTTTTTAAATTAATATTTTAGTAATAGCACGTAATAATAGAAAATGAATAAAGACATTTTTCATGAAATTTATCTAGTTTCATTTTCTTTTTATTTCATTTTCTTTTCACCTTTTGCTCTTCCTTCATCAGAGGTTTTTGAGTGATAACTTCTTAAGGAAGCATTTTCGACTCATGTTTATATGAAATTTTTTGTTCAGAATTAAATTTCCTATAAGATCTCAAGTCTGACTGGAACGTTCGGGGCCATCCTGTATAAAAATATATAATTTATGTTCATTTTTAATTAATTTTAATATTATCTCTTTCAGAGATTGGTTGGAGAGCAAAAACATTACCAGTGGATCATCCAGTCTCTCAATACGAGTTTGATGTGTTAATCGGAGCTGATGGTAAAAGAAATACATTGGAAGGTTTTAAACGAAAAGAATTTCGAGGAAAATTAGCCATTGCAATAACTGCGAATTTCATAAATAAACGAACCGAAGCAGAGGCGCGAGTTGAAGAGATTAGTGGTGTTGCCTTCATCTTTAATCAAAAATTTTTTAAGGAATTGTATCAAGAAACGGGAATTGATTTGGAAAACATCGTATATTATAAAGATGACACGCATTATTTCGTTATGACTGCTAAGAAACATAGTTTAATCGACAAAGGAGTTATTCTACAGGTAACATAAAATTTCATGATCATATATAATAGATCATAAATAATAATTAATAATAATAAATTAATTAATTAATAATAATAAATAATAATAAATTTTTTGAAAGTTGGAATTAGAAGTATATTTTTTTATATGTACATATGTATAATTTTGTACTGTATTGTAATATATTATAATATATATTGCATATTCACTCTAAACTAAGCAAAGAAAAGAGGCAAAGAAAATAATGAATATGCAATAAGCAGTCACACAAGTTTTTCTTTAAAACAATTATGTGTTTTCTTTACATTGTTCTTTACATTCTTTTAATTAATTCGTATTGTTTGCAAAAATCAGAAGTAAGGAATTCGAAAAATAAATATTTAACAAAATATTATGTCAAAATATTGTCACTTCCAAGCCATATAACTCGAAAAGTACTTAATGAAAAAATATTTAATTATAGTGTTTTGGAAAGCTCTTAAGATAAGTTACAAGAATATGTAATGAAAAGTAGGTAGTCCCATTTAAGAAATTGAAAGTGATTTTTACATAATCTTCAAACGACTATTCAGGGTGTAACCAATGACATCATCTTATGTTCTCCTCAAAATCAATTTTTGTCTAAAACGTTTTTCTCAAAAATGCTTAGTTTTTGAAAGAAAAGGGGTGCACGGATGGTCTCAGACACTCTGTATATATATCCTATTTAAATATTCTAATACATATATTAAAGTTATTATTAATATATATATATATATATATAAAGAGAGAGAAAGAGAGTGGATTTTTCATGATATAACATACATATTGTGAAGAAGCATGTTCCTGAAATTAATTTAGAAAGTCATATATATTTCCAATTTATTATATATATTGCCAAATTTTTTATTATTTTAAGCAATATTTTAATTATTCTTTTATAGATTTATTTTCAGGTTTTGTTTCCTTAACGTTTAATCTATATTTCATTTTTCTCTGTTTTTAATAATGAAACTATTTCAAAAAATATATTTTTTTATGACTTTTGTCTCTTTTTATGAATTATGAAATTATATTTAAGTAACTGTTGAATTGAACTGTTGAAATTGTTGGTATTTGCAGAACATTCTTTACTTAAAATGATTTCAGTAATATAGTTTGTATATTATTTTGCATATTATATAATGAAATATTCTATATACATGCAAGCTAAAGCATATTAAAGATCTGCAATAGCCCTTTCAAAAATATAAAAATATTTCTATAGAGAAAAATGCATGTTTTTTCTATAGAAAAAAATGTTTGTTTTCTTTGAAAATACAGACAAATAATATAATATTTCTTTTCAAGCTCACATTTTTCTTTAATATTATAATATTATATTATTAAAGTGATAAGTTTATTATTATTATAATAAATTTATATTTTTTTAAAATAAGATATAATTTCTGTTATAAAATATCTAATAAGACAAACCATATACAGGGTAGGCCATTTTAATCTACGCACTGAAATATCTCAAAATCCATAAGTTTAAGACAAAAATGTTTCAGACAAAAGTTGTATGGTTTTGAGAGGGCCATAAGAAGGTACCATTGGTTTGATCTTGAAGATCATCTCCAACTTTTTAAATAGAACCGCCTACTTTTTATTACATATCCTTGTAGCTTATCTCGAGAACTTTCCAATACACTATAATTAAGTTAGTTTTCATTAAGTACCTTCCGAGTTATGAGGCTTGAAATAATTTCTTAATTTTACATAAACCATAAAATATCTAGAAAAATATTCATTTTTCGATTATCTTACCTTAATACTTTTATGTACAAAATAATGAGAGGAATCAATTGATGTAAAAAAAAATATAGTTGTTTTAAAAAAAAAATGTAATTGTTAATTGCAAATTTTGATAAAAGTCTTATTATAGATTTTTGATAAAAGTCTTATTATACATATATTATTTAAAATTTCACAATATATTATTACATGCTGTAACTGTAGTTGATGCATTAATATAAATCTTCTATCTTATAATGTAAATCTTTTATCTTTTTATCAGTATATATCTTTTAAAAATTAATTACTTGAAATTAAATATTACATATTTTGATCAGTTTGTATCTATCATTAATCTTTTATTAATCGAACTTAATATTATAAAACTATGATTATATTTATAGTGATATCAAATAATATTGAAATTATAAGCAAATCAATAACTCCGATATAAATTATAAATAATATCCAGTAAACATTATTTGTTACAGTAATATGATATGGAAATAATAAATAATATAAACAAGTTACTTAAATGATACAAAACTGTAATATATTAATTATAATATATTATTTATTATTTTGCAACATTACAATAGTAATGTAACGAATATTGCAATATAATATTGTGTACATATTTTATCGCTTGTCGCTACACAACGAAACTAAACTTAACTATTATGTATTTATTTTTTCACCAAGAAATATAAAGGACAAATATTAACATAAAATCTAAAATATATCTCTTTTATGTCAATTTAATTTCTAATGCAATCCTAACAAGAAATTCAAAATATTAAACGGATTATTTGAAATTAGAAAATGCGAATTGGAAATCGGAAATAGGAAATAGTCCATTTACTGCATATTTGAAAAAAATCAAAAGTTTTATATAAATTAAATTTCGAATTTTGTAAATTAAATATATATAATTTTTATTTTATTTATTTAACTATTAATTCTATATATGACTAATATTTTATATGAATTAATTCTATCTATATGAAATATGACTATATGATGCCACAATGATATAACATATGCTACATTATGTTAAATTTATAAATGAGAAATTACAATTAATAATTTACTGATAATATACTTATGTATATTATTAACATTTCTTTTTATTGCTTTTATACAACATTAATATAACAATGTTTATTAATAATATAAAATATGGAAAAAGAAAAAAAAAGTATAAGAATAACAATCTTTTAATATTTATTTAAATAATACACACTAAGCTATAAAACTTCTACTCGTTTCTCAACAATTATTATAAACTTAATTATTATTGATTTCTAGGATCATGCTGACACTGCAAAACTTCTCGCAAAAGAAAACGTAGATCGTGAAGCGTTAATGTTGTATGCGCGAGAAGCGGCGGAATTCTCGACGGAATATCAAATGATGAACATGGAATTTGCGGTGAATCATTATGGCAAACCGGACGTAGCCATGTTCGATTTCACTTCAATGTACGCGGCAGAAAATGCAAGTCGCATATTAAACCGTCATGGACATGGACTACTTATGATCCTTGTAGGCGATAGTCTTTTAGAGGTAAATGAGATATATTTTACAATCACTCGCAAAAATTCCATGAAATTTGTTCTAGAAATTCGTTCTATAAATTTAAATTAATTCTAACATAAATTTTATACATACATTTATAAAGAAAACTTCGGAAAAAATATTCAAGATGTATGTATACACAACCAAAAATTGACTGTTAAGAATTTTAGAATATTGCAATCCTATTAGAGAAATAATTATAAATAAACTTTGGGATATTTGATTGGTTACTTATTTAAAAATTAATATCTTAAAAAATATATTAAAAAATATTAAACGGATTAAAAAATAATATAATAATATATATTTGATATTAAAATTTGATAATCAAATTTCTCCACTTGAATTTAGAAATATGTAATTTAAAATAAGTATGATTTCTGAATATTTTATATGATATTATATATACATAAAATAATATAATAATAATGTTTATATAAAAACTAAAACACTTCGTAAATTTATTTGTAAATTATTAAGTTATTGTCACGTTATTTTAAAAAATGTTTACTATGTATGAAAACTGTACAATACCTGGAATTAAACAAAATTCTATTAAAGATCTTTTTTTAGTTATTCTTAATTCACTTTATAATGAAACTTTGCTTTCTGATTACTTGAATCTTTACTGTTTTCACTTTTATTTTTTAGTATATCGGGTGTCCCAAAAGTCCCGGACCGGTCGAATATTTCATAAACTATGCACTTTAGAAAGAAATGTTTCAGACAAAAGTTGTATGGCTTGAAGGGGGCCATCAGATAGTGGCAATGATTTGACATGAGAGAGTCATTTGAAAGTCACGTGAAGTCAACCGTCAATTTCTTAAATGGAACTCCCTATTTTTTATTAAATATTCGTGTAGTTCACGTCGAGAGTTTTCCAAAACACTATAATTAAGTTAGTTTTCATTAAGTACTTTCCGAATTATGAAGCTTGAAATAATTTCTTAATTTTACATAAACCATAAAATATCTTATAAAATATTCATTTTTCGATTATCTTACCTTAATACTTTTATGTACAAAATAATGAGAGGAATCAATTGGTGTAAAGAAAAACCATAGTTGTTTTTAAGAAAAAAATATGTAATTTGCAATTAACAATTACATATTTTTTTTTTAAACAATTATGTGTTTTCTTTACACCAATTGATTCCTCTCATTATTTTGTACATAAAAGTAATTAAAATAAGATAATCAAAAAATGTATATTTTACTAGATATTTTATGGTTTATGCAAAATTAAGAAATGATTTCAAGCCTCATAACTCGAAAAGTACTCAATGAAGAAATACTTTATTATAGTGTTTTGGAAAGCTCTCGAGATAAGCTACACGAATATGTAATAAAAAATAGGGAGTTCCATTTAAGAAATTGACGATGATCTTCACGTCTTTCAAATGAGTCTCCCATGTCAAATCATTGCCACTATCTGATGGCCCCCTTCAAACCATACAACTTTTGTCTGAAACATTTCTTTCTAAGCATAGTTTATGAAATATTCGACCGGTCCGGGACTTTTGGGATACTCTGTATATTTCGGTATTTTTTCATTTATTCAGAGTTTTAAATTTTTATCATTATATTTCTTATTTTACTTGATGTTTAATGAAAAATTAAATCAATGATTGTAGCCATTTTGGCCTACTGGTTCTGGTTGCGCGAGAGGATTCTTGAGTTCTCTGGATGCTGGTTGGGCAATCAAGGGTTGGGGCGCTTCGTTTTCACCATTGGAAGTAATCGCCGAGCGCGAATCAATATACAGGTTGTTGGGACAGACGACGCCGGAAAATTTAAATAGGGATTACGCTGCATATACTCTCGATCCTCATACTAGGTAAACTATAATTCGAGATTCATATAATAAGCCAATTAGATGTTAAATCTAATTGGCTAGCACTTAGTAAATATTGTTATTAAGAAAAAATAGCTAGCACTCAGTAAATATTGTTATAAAAACCAATAAAATGGAATGTTACAAATGTATGTAAGTATTATCAATAAGTTATTGATTAATTATAAATTTTCAATAAAGTGTAATTTTCTAATTTTCCATAAGCATAATATACAATAATGTGAATAAATAAATTGTAATTTTCTAATTTTCCATAAGCCAATCTACAATAATAATATAACAACGATCACATATATTATTGTTATATCATAGTTGTGTTCTAGAATTGATAATTAAAATAAATAATATGTACTTAATCTGTAAAATCTGGAATTTAATTAATAGAAATTTCGATGTTTGCTTCAAATAGTAACAATAATAATAATAAACTTTTGTATTTACTTCCAAATAATCTAAATAATTTTTTTAATATTCTCATTTATTTGTTAGGATCGTAATAGAAATTAACAAGCAAGAAATATACTTTAGATTTTATAGTCCTATGTAGGTATTATCTATTTCGTGATGAAAAATTAAATACAAAATAGTTAAATGTGGTTTCTTAAGGATAAGCAATAGAATACGTATATAACAATATTAAATTGCAATATTCTGTTATATTACTGTTATATTATACTGTTGTAATATTGCAAAATAATACATGATATATTATAATTTGATGTTGTATAGATAATTTGCATATTTATTACTTCTACATTATGCAACAAACAGTATTTATTGGGTATTGAATTTTAGAAAATTATCATAACAGAAATTGTATAAATTGTAAAGAAAATTTTTGCCAAGTGTTTTTTTTTTATCTTATATCAAATATCACATGCAATAATAATGAAACTAATTTGCATATTTATTACTTCTACATTATGCAACAAACAGTATTTACTGGGTATGGAATTTTAGAAAATTATCATAACAGAAATTGTATAAATTTTAAGGAAAATTTTTGCCAAGTGTTTTTTTTTTACCTTATATCAAATATCACATGCAATAATAATAAAACTAATTTATTTATTTTATTTTTCAAGGTATCCAAATCTTAATGTACATTCTGTGCTCCCGATACAAGTGCGCAGTCTTCTTGATACAGATGATCCTGAAAGTATCAAACAATCTACAGTACAGCCTGAGATCGATGCTCCAAAGAAACGAAGACGTCGCGGTAAATTTAACGATATAATATTGAGTTTTATAAGATTCTTGATTTACACTGTAATTATTTTATTAAACTCTGTTATCTTTAATGTCAATTGAAGTTTATTCGAGTAAGTTATTTAATTTCTTTTTTCTTTTTTCTTTTTCAACAACGTACAAATAATGGGCTCAAGCAAATAGCGGATATACATGCAATATAATAAATATTAAATCAAATTAAACGATTCAGGAATCTCTTAACGAAAAATTGTACAAAAATAATAGTTAACACACACAAGTCAAGAATGACATAAGCTTAAAATAATAACTGCAAATGTTTTTGTTCTAAATTAAACTCTCCAATATAATATATTCTTATATATTCTTATATTTTGATTATAATGAAAAGACTAATAAAAATGCTAAATTTAATTAAAACTGATAATAATAAAAACTGATAAATTTAATCAAAAATACAAGGAGATTTGTATGAGGTATGTAACATAAATGATTTTGAATTGTTGTGTAGAAGTGAAGAAAATTGTAATATGTATATATATATATATATATATATATATATATATATATATATATATATATACAGGGTGAGGCATCTAAAACAGGCCACCTGAATAACTCCGTTGGTAAGCCGAATACAAAAAAATTGTTCAGACAAAAGTTGTATGGTTTCAAGGGGGACATATGATGGTGTCATTAGTTTAATCTTGAAGAGCCACCCGAAGGTCACGTGAAGGTCAGCTCCAACTTTTTAAATGGGACACCTTATATGCTTTTGCATATTCTTGTAGCTCATCTCAAGAGCTTTCCAAAACACTACAATTATGTTAGTTTTCATTAAATACTTTCCAAGTTATGAGGCTTGAAATCATTTTTTAATTTTACATAAACCGTAAAATATCTTGTAAAATATTCATTTTTCGATTATTTTACCTTAATACTTTTATGTACAAAATAATGAGAAGAATCAATTGGTGTAAAGAAAACACATAATTGCTTCGAACAAAAAAATGTAATTTGCAATTAACAATTACATTTTTTTGTTCGAAGCAATTATGTGTTTTCTTTACACCAATTGATTCCTTTCATTATTTTGTATATAAAAGTATGAAGGTAAGACAATCGAAAAATGAATGGTTTACTAGATATTTTATGGTTTATGTAAAATTAAGAAATTATTTCAAGCCTTATAACTCAAAAAGTACTTAATGAAAAGGTACTTAATTATAGTGTTTTGGAAAGCTCTCGAGATAAGCTACAAGAATATGCAATGAAAAATAGGGAGTTCCATTTAAGAAATTGAAAGTAACCTTTATGTGACCCTCAAATGATTATCCAAGGTCAAATTTTTGCCACCCATCTTCTGTCCCCCTCGAAGTCAAGCAACTTTTATTTGAAACATTTTGTTGTACATTCAAATATAAAAAAGTTATTGGAGTGGATCACTTAAAATGCCCCACCCTGTATATATAATATACATAATAATAACAAATAGTAAATAACAATATATAATAAATAAATAATAATATGTTTATTAATTTGCTTTAGATATTAAATGCAATGGATACAATTGATATCGATTTTTTTCTTTAATTATATAACAATTTTTCTTTAATTATATTACGATATCCTTCAACATGTTATATTTCTATATCTTATGTATACAGAGTGTCCCAAAAATTCCGGATCGGTCGAATATTTCATAAACTATGCACTTTAAAAAGAAATGTTTCAGACAAAAGTTGTATGACTTGAAGGGAGCCATCAGATAGTGGCAATGATTTAACATGGGAGAGTCATTTGAAAGTCACGTGAAGATCACCGTCAATTTCTTGGAACTCTCTATTTTTCATTAAATATTCTGATAGCTCACGTCGAGAGCTTTCCAAAACACTATAATTAAGTTAGTTTTCATTAAGTACTTTCCGAATTATGAGGCTTGAAATCATTTCTTAATTTTACATAAATCGTAAAATATCTTGTAAAATATTCATTTTTTGATTACCTTAAACTTTTATGTACAAAATAATGAGAGGAATCAATTGATGTAAAGAAAACACATAGTTGTTTTAAAAAAAAAATATGTAATTGTTAATTGCAAATTACATATTTTTTTCTTAAAAACAACTGTGTTTTCTTTACACCAATTGATTCCTCTCATTATTTTGTACATAAAAGTATTAAGGTAAGATAATCGAAAAATGTATATTTTACTAGATATTTTATGGTTTATGCAAAATTAAGAAATGATTTCAAGCCTCATAACTCGAAAAGTCAATGAAGAAATACTTTATTATTGTATTTTGGAAAGCTCTCGAGATAAGCTACATGATTATGTAATAAAAAATAGGGGATTCCATTTAAGAAATTGAAGATGACCTTTACGTCACCTTCAAATGACTCTCCAAGGTCAAATCATTGCCACTGATGGCCCCCTTCAAGCCATACAACTTTTGTCTGAAATATTTCTTCCTAAAGTGCATAGTTTTTGAAATATTCGACCGGTCCGGGACTTTTGGGACACCCTGTATATCCAACTTTATGTTTAAAAATATAATTTTCTGAAAATATCTAATATTTTTATTAGTAAAAACTTATTTTACTTTTTATACATAAATCACATATACACAATAAGGTCACAGATAAAAATGCTATATTTTAATTATTTTTTTAATATAAGCATAAAAAGAGAAAATATTTTTTATGTAGATCTGAGAGTAGAGACTCAAATTCATCCAGATACATTGCTCCGTTGGCTGCAAAAACAAGTTGCATTGTATGATAAAGTTCACATTGAAGATATGGGTATCTCCTTCAAAGATGGTTTAGCTATTTGTGCAATCATTCATAGATACCGTCCAGATCTAATAAATTTTTATAGCTTAAACACGGAAGATGTAGTGAAGAACAATCAAGTCGCCTTCGATATATTGGAAAAGGAATTGAATATACCGCCGGTAAGCAGGTTACATTTTTATCTTGTTTGCTGTAATATTATCAATTATGTGGATATACATTTTTTTGCTTCATAAAATATAAAATATAAATTGTTTTTATAAATTGTTTAAATATAAATTGTTTTTTAATTATATATGTTCTGTGATTTTTAAACAGAATAATGAAAGAAGAAATATAAATAAACATTGTAAATGATAAGTTAATAAATATTTTATTTAAATAATAAATACAATTATTGAGTTACACAAATTAGATTGTCGTAATTATATTAATAGCAGTAATATAAATTATTGTGTAATATTGTTAAAAAATTATTTGTATATTTTTGTTTACATATAAAAAGAATTAAAAACTCCCATTTAATTGTACTTACAGATAATGACAGGAGAAGAAATGGCTCAGTGTGATGTTCCTGACACACTTACCATGTTTTCTTACTTAACACAAATATACGAAGCTTTCAAAGGAGATATTCCATATATCAAGCATCCAAAATTAGTAAGTAATTTTAAAGAGAAATAATTTTAAAGAGAAGAAATTAATAAGTAATTAACTTTTAGAAAATTTTTCTTTGTCTGTTTTCTATAATGTAATAATAACATGCTTTCAAATTGCAATATAAAGTTACTAGAAAAAGCAAGAAGGATCAAGATCCAACATTTTCCATTATTTTCGATCTCACAATCAGTCATCTCATTGTTAACTCATACTCAGTAAACACTGTTTGTTACAATAATATAATGTGGAAGTAACAAATAATAAGTTCATAGCCTTTTATAACAAGTTACCTTTATGATATAAAACTATAATCATACATTATTATTTTGCAATATTACAATAGAAAAGATAAAATATAGAATATAAAAAGAAGTATAGAATATAATGTCACAATATATAATTACATATGTTTCCTTCGCTTTTAATTGCACAGCGAAATTAGACTTTACTAACTCATATTTAATTTTTCATTATGAAATGGATATAAAATCTATAAAGGATAAGTATTAAAAGTCAAAGTATATCTCTTTTTGTCAGTTTAATTTTTAAGATAATCTCAATAAAAAATTCAGAATATTAAATTACTTGATATTGGATCAGTCAATAAGAAAAATAGTCCATTAGCTATCTATTTAAAGCAAAAAAATTGAAATTTCTATATAAAGTAAAAATTCTAAATTTTGTAAATTAAATATAATTTATTTATTTATTCGATTACCAATTCTATATATCAATATTTTATGTGAACCAATTTTATATGGAGTATAATTACGATGAAACAACGATATACAACATGTTATATTACATGTAATATTTTTGAATAAGTAATTAATTATGAACTTATTGGTAACATTTATATAATATATTACTTATAACATTCCGTATTATTTCTTTTAACATTATTATAACAGTGTTTACTAGGTAATGTAACGGATTGTAACAATCATTCATTAAATGTTTTTAAGAATTTACAATCTCTTTTTGTTTAAAATTATACTTTCTTTTTCGTTAATACACATTAATATTTTATTAATTAATTTGTTACTATTTTCTTAAAAATTTCCGAAAGTATTTATATAAGATATGTATACAGAGTGTCTTATTTTAATGTCCCACCCCAAATAACTTTCTTATTTTTAATTTTAGAAAAAGATGTTTGAGACAAAAGTTGTATGGTTTCTAGGAAAACATAAGATAGTGCCATTAGTTTGACCTTGAAGAGTCACATGAAGGTTACATGAAGGTCATTTTGAATTTGTTAAATGAAACACCCTATATATTTTTGCACATTCTCTTGTAGCTTATCTCGAGAGCTTTCCAAAACACTATAAATAAACATTTTTTTCGGGATAAGAACGAAATGAGAGAAATCAATTGGTGTAAAGAAAACATACAGTTGTTTCTAAGAAAAAATATGTAATTTGCAATTAACAATTCCATATTTTTTCTTAAAAACAACTGTATGTTTTCTTTCCACCAATTGATTTCTCTCTTATTTTGTACATAAAAGTATTAAGGTAAGATAATCGAAAAATGAATTTTACAAGATATTTTATGGTTTATATAAAATTAAGAAATGATTTCAAGCCTCATAACTTGAAAAGTATTTGATAAAAAAATGTTTATTTATAGTGTTTTGGAAAGCTCTCGAGATAAACTACAAGAATATGTAAAAATATATAGTGTTCCATTTAAGAAATTCAAAATGATCTTCACGTAGTCTTCATGTGACTCTTCAAGGTCAAATTAATGGCACCATCTTATGTCCCCCTAGAAACCATACAATTTTTGTCTGAAACATCTTTTTCTAAAATTAAAAATAAGAAAGTTATTTGGGGTGGGACATTAAAATGGGACACCCTGTATAATCGCAAATTTAAACAATGTTTATTATAATAGGAACCAGAAATTGAGGAATGCAGTACACATCCAAAACAACTGAAACAATTGACACCTGAGGAAAAGTCTACGAAAAGGCACTCGCGCTCGCGGTACTCTAATGAAAATGTACAATCTTACATGGATAAGAAAGACAATACAACTAGTCGGCGTTCTCGGAAGAGACGTAGCACCGAAAAAATGAGTGCGACAATGGTAAGTGAAATAAATTTTCTATTCTTTTTGCAGCTTACGATGAATAATGGCTCTGTCGATTTAACAATAAAATAAACGAATGCATTAATGATATTTGTACATATGAATTTAGCCCATATTGTCTACTTTATTTACATTCTTTTTTATATATTTTATTACGAATTGTATATAAACATATGGTATCATTAATGCACTTGATTTAATTGATATGGTTGGATAAAATATAAAAAATATTGCAGATATAAAACCAAAATATATGTGTTGAAGTTTTATATAAACCACTTAAAGTTATAAATAATTAGTGTAATTACAAGAAATTATGCGATATAAATCACTTAAATTTCTGTATATATTTTAAAATGTAATTTTTCTGTATTGTTTATGTCCAATGATGCAAATTAATTATATTAGTAAATTATTATAGTATATTAAATTATAGTATAGTATATTAAATTATAGTATAGTAAATTATAGTAAAATAATTTTTATTTGAGATATTCTTAATATCTACTTTTAATCTACATTTAATCGTATAAATATTTACCTTAAAAAAAACGATTAAATTTTTCAAAAAAAAGTGAAACTTTTGAAAATAATATTATTAAAAATGACAAAATTTTACAATTTTACTAACAAAACTTGTTGAAAGAAAATTCAATATTTTGTAAAAAATATATTAATTTTTTTAAAGACAATATGTATATAAAAAATTTAGATTAGACTAATAGAATAAATAATAGAAAAAAAGAAAAATTGTTAAAAAATCCTGATTTATGAAAAAACATTCCAATTTATTTTAAGGATATTTTATTGACAAGAATATAATAGAACAAAGTATATCTAAATTTTAAAAAAATTATTTTTTTTTAAATCATATGTTTAATACTTTACTTCTTAAAATAACTGAAATGCTTGAATCTTATATCAATGGCAGACAATTGAAGCTATTAAATGCCGCAGAATATTCATTGTTAATCGCATTTGTTGGACTTATCTTTATCTATTTGTTGGATTATACTTTACTTCAGAAGAAATTAGACATATACTGAATACATGTAACAGCATAGGAGGAAACATGTATAAGACTGTTAGTTATGTCATTTTTTACACAATTTTATATACTGGATGTCCCAAAAGTCACGGACCGATCGAATATTTCATAAACTATGCACTTTAGAAAGAAATGTTTCAGACAAAAGTTGTATGGCTTGAAGGGGGCCATCAAATAGTGGCAATGATTTGACAGGGGAGAGTCATTTGAAAGTCACGTGAAGATCACCGTCAATTTCTTAAATGGAACCCCCTATTTTTATTACATGTTCGTGTAGCTTATCTCGAGAGCTTTCCAAAACACTATAATAAAATATTTCTTCATTGAGTACTTTTCGAGTTATGAGGCTTGAAAACATTTCTTAATTTTGCATAAACCATAAAATATCTAATAAAATATTCATTTTTCGATTATCTTACCTTAATACTTTTATGTACAAAATAATGAGAGGAATCAATTGGTGTAAAGAAAACACATAGTTGTTTTTAAAAAAAATGTAATCGTTAATTGCAAATTACATATTTTTTTCTTAAAAACAAGTATAGTTTTTCTTTACACCAATTGATTCCTCTCATTATTTTGTACATAAAAGTATTAAGGTAAGATAATCGAAAAATGAATATTTTAGAAGATATTTTACGGTTTATGTAAAATTAAGAAATGATTTCAAGCTTCATAATTCGGAAAATACTTAATGAAAACTAACTTAATTATAGTGTTTTGGAAAGCTCTCGACGTGAGCTACCAGAATATTTAATAAAAAATAGGGAGTTTCATTTAAGAAATTGACGGTGATCTTCACGTGATTTTCAAATGACTCTTTCATGTCAAATCATTGCCACTATCTGATGGCCCCCTTCAAGCAATACAACTCTTGTTTTTAAACATTTCTTTCTAAAGTGTATAGTTTATGAAATATTCGACCGGTCCGGGATTTTTGGGACATCCTGTATACGTTGTCATATAATTGCTATCACAATTTCTTTAAATTCTGACGAGTGAGACAACACAAAAAAATGATTATAAAACATTTATCGTTATGTGTAAATGACAGTTAAATAATAGTTGATTATATTGATCGTAGATGTGAAATTTAGAATTAAATTAACAATATTTTTCCAATAAACAAATTTTATAGGCCGATTAGTTTTTACTTTTTTTTACATTTAATTTCTTTTATCTTTTTTTTCTCTTTTTTTTCTGCATTCTGTACGCATTTTATGCAGACTAGCAGTAAGAAAGCAGTATAAAAAATTAATAACTTTTAGAAACTTTTTCGAAGAATATTAGAAATTAATTATTTGCCGTCTTACATATTTTTCATTGATATTTATATGAACAGTACGATTAAGTATCCTCAAAAAAATATTACAAAAATTGAAGTTGTTTGATCCATTAGTTTTCAAGATATCCATCCTTTTCAAGATATCACACCAACTTTAAAAACAGTATTTTGAAAAAAAAACATTTAAAGTTTTGCAAGTCCATTTAAAGACCCGCATACTATTCTATTTAAAATCCTATAATTACATTGATTTTTCAGTAAAATTTTAGATACATTCTTCAAACATATTTTTCGAAAATGTAAAAAAATAAAAATAAATTTGTTCGATTCTCTGAAGTAGATTAAACTCTTAAATTTTTTAAGAGTCAATTTCATCGTTGCTTTATGCTATTTTGCAGTAGCATAATTCGAAATGTAATAATAGTATGCTTTGCTATAAAAAAAAATATTAGCATTTACAATTTACGAAATTGGTCAATTTCGACTAATGACAATTCTAAACTCATAATGAAGGATGAGAGACAGAAAAGACTCGATGAGATCGAAAAGCATCGAATCGAACGCATGAAGAGGCGGCAATATTTGCGCAAGATGGCAACGCAACAATTCTACAAAAGTATGCAAATGCTACAAGCCAATGCAAAACACGAGAAAGACGGGCCATTTGAGGATTATTCGATTTTCTTATACCGTCAAACTGCACCAGATTTTAAGGACAGAGTAAAAGATCTAGAACAGAAAATACTCTACCCAGTAAGCTAGAGATTGATCATGAGTGCAGATGAATGTTTTTTTCTCTATTTACCAAAAAAATCTATGTTTTTTTGATGTTAAAAATAACAACATATTTTAAAAGATGCTCGGCATGATAGCATAGCTACTATTGACTAATTAAACTTGTTTGAAAAAAAAAAAAAATAAATTGCGTTCGTTATTAAGTATTTTTGATTAATATGACGCTTAATAACATTTTTGGAATAATAAAAGTCTACATTTCCGACTTTTATTTATTTAATTTTTATTTTAGTTGAGAGATTAATTATTTGAATTGCATTATTTTTATATTACATTTTTGAATTTAAAGGGAATTAAAATTTGAAATCAAAATCTATATCTTTAATTTCAAAATAATTAGTTATATATATAATATATATTATATATAATTATTATATATATTTATATATTATTATATAATAGTTATTTTTTATTTATTTCATTTTTATTTTAGTTGAGAGATTAATTATTTGAATTGCATTATTTTTATATTACATTTTTGAATTTAAGGGGAATTAAAACTTGAAATAAAAATCTATATCTTTAATTTCAAAATAATTACGAAATTTTTAATTATGTTTTCAAAGTAATAGATTTTCCTTTCTTCTTATGTGTAATTTAATTAATATAACTAATTTAGGTCTATATTATGTACGTGCCTGCAGTGCTTAAATTATGTTATTTAAATATTGAATTTAAAAAAAAGTTATTGAATCTTTTTTTTTTAAATGTTTAAATATTATTCTAGAAATTCTATATACAAAGGATCCCTAATATAATCGAGGAAATAATAATATTATATAAAAAATAAGTCGAAAATGTAGGCTAAACTTATTTTATAAAGTGTTTTGTTTTCGAAAAAATTAATTTTAAAAGTTAGTAACATAAATGTTTTTTTTGTTTGAATGACTGATCTCAAATAATCTTGTAACATATGTCATTAAATTCGTCCCACTAACCACTAAAATAATCAAGAAACACAGTAGTGTGTCTACATTTCAGACATTAATATTATACAATTATATATACACATACACATGTATACCTCAATTTAAAATTAATGTCATACAACAGATATTGTCTTTTTTAAAATCTTTAAATTCTTCTCTTACTAACTTTATGCAGGATGTCCCAAAAGTCCCGGGCCGGTCGAATATTTCATAAACTATGAACTTTAGAAAGAAATGTTTCAGACAAGAGTTGTATGGCTTGAAGGGAGCTATCAGATAGTGGCAATGATTTGACATGGGAGAGTCATTTGAAAGTCACGTAAAGATCACCGTCAATTTCTTAAATGGAACTCCCTATTTTTTATTACATATTCGTGTAGCTTATCTCGAGAGCTTTCCAAAACACTATAATAAAGTATTTCTTCTTTGAGTACTTTTCGAGTTATGAGGCTTGAAATTATTTCTTAATTTTACATAAACCATAAAATATCTAGTAAAATATTCATTTTTCGATTATCTTACCTTAATACTTTTATGTACAAAATAATGAGAGGAATTATTTGGTGAAAGAAAACACATAGTTATTTAAAAAAAAATATGTAATTGTTAAAAATTTAAAAAAAAATATGTTAATTGCAAATTACATATTTTTTTCATAAAAACAACTATGTTTTTTCTTTACACCCATTGATTCCTCTCATTATTTTGTACATGAAAGTATTAAGCTAAGATAATCGAAAAATGAATATTTTACAAGATATTTTACGGTTTATGTAAAATTAAGAAATGATTTCAAGCCTCATAATTCGGAAAGTACTTGAAAACTAACTTAATTATAGTGTTTTGGAAAGCTCTCGACATGAGCTACCAGAATATTTCATAAAAAATAGGGAGTTCCATTTAAAAAATTGATGATGATCTTCACGTGATTTTCAAATGACTTTCCCATGTCAAATCATTGCCACTATCTGATGGCCCCCTTCAAGCCATGCAACTTTTGTCTGAAACATTTCTTTCTAATGTGCATAGTTTATGAAATATTCGACCGGTCCGGGACTTTTGGGACACCCTGTATATAATTACATAATACAATAATTATTATCTCACAATAATTATTAGTCACTACTTTACAATTTAATTCGATTTAACTTGATTTAAATTTAATTGATTTTAATTCGATTTAATTCCAATAAAATTGTATTGATTAAATTTAATTGATTTTAATTCGATTTAATTCCAATAAAATTGTATTGATTTGATTCGATTCGATTCGATATAAAAAATCTTTGATTCGCACATCTCTATCTCGCAGCAATATTATTGCGAGTATTTTATCGATTAAGATTATCGAATTTGAGGAACGATTGAATCACAATCTTACTTAATAATTTTTTATCGACAACTTTGATCTCTAATACAACAAAAATGTCGTATTGTTTTATATATTATAAATTTTATATATTATGAACAGGGATAAAAAAAATATATGAAAAATTTTCAAAAATTTTGTATTTTTCTATTAATATAAAAATTTCTATTTAAGATATTATTGCCATCATTATCATAGTTCAATCTCAACGTATTTATCTCGGATTAATATATATTGTACATGACTTATATTATTCCTGAAAGTAAGTTAAACATTCTTTCATTTTCGAATTTTATTCAAATCTGTTTCTTCGAAAAATATTGATTGCCTAGAATTCTTAGGAAATTTAACATAATTTTTTTATATTTGGAAAAATGTAAAAATTCATGAAATTTTTTGGAACTCGGAGAATTTTTTTAATAAATTATGTTTTTTATTATAACTTTTAGTAAAAAATAAAAATGTTATGCAGATGAAAAATATTTATTTTACAATACTTATTCAATTTTTAGTATATTTTAAATCTAGCATTTATGAAATTTAAATAGCCTGTTCCTTTATATGAAAAGTATTAGAAAACACACATAATAGAAAACCTATTTTAGAATTGCATTCAAAAAGTCCTTAAAAAAATTCTCTTTATCTGAAATTTTGAACAAAAAGTCTGAAGAATCAGAGAATGCTTTTATAAGATTTGAGTAGATCTTATTTGATATGATTTGCTGTCCATCAACGAAAATAATAATTTTTAACATGTTTGGTTTTTTTTTATGATTTCAGTAATTTTCTATGCTATTAATCTACAGTACCGGCCAAAAATATATCACTTTTATGTTTTTTGAGAATAACTTAACTAAAGTGAATAACTTAATTCAAAGTGTGTATATTTCTGTCTAGTCACATATTTTAATAATAGGTGTATAGATTACTTAATAATAGACTTTTTATTAAATAATGAACACAGCAACTTAAGAAAAATTAATTAAATATATACACTTTGAATTAAGTTATCCTCAAAAAAGGTGATATATTTTTGATCCGTATATTGTATAAATATTTTTTAATTTTATTTTAACAAATAACTATTATCTTGGCTAAAAAGTTCCAATTTTGTAAATAATTATTTTGGTTAGAAAAGAAGATTTACATGACTTTTTTTTCCATTTTGGATCTTTTGCCAAACAGATATTTTTTAAGTAAAAATATACACATGTACATAGAATTTTTAGAATTAGTTTTTTTAGTAATATATTTAATAATATATAAATAATATATTAATAATATATAAATTTAATAACATATTTTATACAAATATAAATCAACCAGAAAGAAAATGTATGAATATGAGTAAATTTATATTTTTATGCAAATATTAATTTCTATATTACATCCTTTTTTAAATTTTATTAAATATATTGCTCACATATATATAATGATTCAAATGCCAAGTGCTACATTAAATCCGAAAAATAAAAGTTGAGAAATAAAAATTTTTGTGTTTGCTTTTACTATAAAAACACATAAGTGATTTAATTATGCAGTTCTAATTGACTTTAAAAATAGGTGATTTCAGTGTAATTATATTGATTGATGATCAATCGCATTATCTGTATTTTAAATCTATTAATAATTTGAAAGTTTGGGTAGACTTATATCCTATCACCTGACATCTCGACTACTGTCATATTAAATTTAAAATAAATATTTAATAATATTTAATCTAGTTAGCTTAATTTTTTCGAATTAATATTATCTATTAGTCCTGTTAAAATTTATTTTTTTACTTAATTTTCCAAAAGTTTATTAATTTTTTTACTTAATTTTTCAAAAGTTTATTAATTTTTAGACAAGCTTTGATAATAAAAAAAATTGGATGAAAAATCTGATGAAAGATTCAATTTTTGAATTCGTTGGAAAACGCTGCTTTATAATTACTCTTATATATAATAATAATCTGAACTTTTCGATAAACTATCTATATTAATATTGCTCTTTGTGAAATATCGGCGATATTTGTTTGCATTATTTGTGGTATTTCGTGTGATTTTTATTTGCGTTTGTGAAAGATTATTAATTTACCAATTATTCCTAGGACAGACAACCTAAGATACACATCGGTTACGAAAGAGGTAATGTGGACGAAGAATTTTCGGGCAAAATAAAAGATTTTGAAGACAAATTAAAAGGGACAACATCCTCCGAGAAAAAACCCAGAGATCTTTTACGCGCCATCGGTTTGTGCACATTTTTAATTTTTATTTTCTTTATCTAATTCCAATATAGTTTTTTTTATATCTACAGTTATACAGAATCTTTCAAAAATTCGGCAACGCTAAAATATCTCGAAAACAACTATTTGTAATAAATAATATATAAGAAACAAAGTTGTGTGGAGTTTAAATTTAGAAAATCTATGGATGATTAATAATTTGACTTTGAGTGAAGTTCTCTAAATTATATAAATATAAAAGTTTATATAAAAGTAAATATAAAATTATATAAATATAAAAGTCAAAGTGAATTTTTAAATGGATACCTTTATTATTATTATTTTTTATATCATTTTTCATTTTAATTTTTATCATATTTTTATGTGACGCCGAAATGTTTCCAAATCTTGTTGGTAAACAAATTTTAATTTTTAGATTTTTTTAGATTTTATAAACCCTACAACTTCGCTTCTTACATATTTGTTATACAGGGTGTCCCAAAAGTCCCGGACCGGTCGAATATTTCATAAACTATGCACTTTAGAAAGAAATGTTTCAGACAAAAGTTGTATGGCTTGAAGGGGGCCATCAGATAGTAGTAATGATTGCCATGGGAGAGTCATTTGAAAGTCACGTGAAGTCAACCGTCAATTTCTTAAATGGAACTCCCTATTTTTTATTAAATATTCGTGTAGTTCACGTCGAGAGTTTTCCAAAACACTATAATTAAGTTAGTTTTCATTAAGTACTTTTCGAATTATGAGGCTTGAAATCATTTCTTAATTTTACATAAACCGTAAAATATCTTGTAAAATATTCATTTTTCGGTTATCTTGTTTTAATACTTTTACGTACAAAATAATGAGAGGAATCAATGAGTTAGGAAGGTAAAGAAAAAACATAGTTGTTTTTAAGAAAAAAATATGTAATTTGCAATTAACAATTACATATTTTTTTTAAAAACAACTATGTGTTCTCTTTACACCAATTGATTTCTCTCATTATTTTGTACATAAAAGTATTAATGTAAGATAATGTAAAAATGAATATTTTACTAGATATTTTATGGTTTATGCAAAATTAAGAAATGATTTCAAGCCTCATAACTCGAAAAGTACTCAATGAAGAAATACTTTATTGTTTTGGAAAGCTCTCGAGATAAGCTACGAATATGTAATAAAAAATAGGGAGTTCCATTTAAGAAATTGAAGGTTACCTTTACGTCATCTTCAAATGACTCTCCAAGGTCAAATCATTGCCACTATCTGATGGCCCCCTTCAAGCCATACAACTTTTATCTGAAACATTTTTTTGATTTTTCATTATTTTCCGAAATATTTAAGTGGATCACTTAAAATGGCCCACCCTGTAGATAATTTATATTATTTGTTACTTCCATATTTATATCATATAGATAATTTATATTATTTGTTACTTTCATATTATTACCGCAAACAATGTTTACTGGGTAATTTACTAAAATTTATTTATTTACGTACAGTGTTTGCTGTAGATAATTTCAAAATTATCTAGATAAAGATAAAGATAAAAACCCGTAAATTTATCTTAGATGAGATAAAGATGATTTTGCTTTTACTTAATCTAGATAAAAAATGAGATGATTATTGCAATAATCTAGATAATTATTTAGATATTTTTGTTTATTTTATAAGACTATAAATATTTATAAAAAATGTGATGCAGATTATAAATAGGATATTAAAATCATAAACACATATTCTTTCTCTCTTCCTAAAGAATATTTAAATAATAACAAAAAGGTATATAAATATATGATATGATAAATATTTATTTATTAATTTATATTTATAATATATTTATAATATATTTATAATATATTTATAATATATTAATATTATAATAATCAATGTGTAATAATACATATATCATTTTTATAAAATATACATTAATGCATTGCATAAATTTAAGTAAAACAAGTACAAGATAAAGTATATTTGTAATATTTTTTCCAAATAAAAAATATATTTTAGATATTTTAGATAGATTTTTAGAAGCTTATCTGGAAAACTCTTTTGCATAATGAAAACGTCATCTTAGATAATTTTTAGATAAGATGACATTTTTTATCTAAGATAAAGATAAAGATACTTTGTATTTCTTCATCTAGTTAAAGATGAAGATGACCCATTTCTTTATCTAGATAATTATCTAGATAATTTTATCTGGATACCAGCAAACACTGTTTACGTATTAAATCAACTAATGGCATGTTACATCGAATAATAAGATACTATTGTATATAAAGGTAAGATCGAAAAGACGGACTGGAACGTAAAAGAAATCGAAAAAAAAATCGAAGAGAACAAGATGGGCCGCGGCATTCGTCATGATCGTGTAGAGAGAGTACCGAAGTGGAGTCGCGAGCAGGTTGGCAAAGAAACACGCAATAGCACTGACGTTTTCGCACTTTTTTAGATGTGTATATGTTTCATTCAGTTTTTAGCTCGGCAGATCAAGATGGAGAAGCGGGGCAACGATCAAAGGGACACCTACAGTAAGTACGCTGACATAGACAATACCCTGAAGAATATAGGCAAGAAGATCCGAGAGGGTAGCGCGCTCGGACACAATAAAGTTTCAGCCATGGCTGAGCAATTTTCGAATAAAAATCAGGATACGGAACCCAAACTACAGAAATCGGTAAATACGATCTTTACGATCTCCATAGGAAAATGATCCACGCAATATTAGAATTTATATTTGTTGGTATATAGGTGTCTGTTTTGTGTATCTTATGCATATATATTGATTAACTTATAACAAGAACTCTTAATTCTTAATTATGAAATCTTTTAAGAAAGATGCAAGTCAGTTAATATTAATAATAAGATTGTATTTTTGAAGAAATAGTTAGATTATATTCTTTAAATCAATTAATTAAATTTATTATTTTATAAATATGAATTATTTACAAAATAGTATTCAAGATTAATCGTGCATATCGTGACTGAAATAATTATTTATAAATTATAATTAGAATTACTGAGATTAACAAAAGTTATATACATGATGGATCTGTTTTAATAACTAATATCTCAAACAATTGAAGCACTGAATTGAAGTTTATGAAAGATTCTTTTAGATAGAAAATTAGAGGGTCAGAGATATAATTTTATTTTTTTTTCCATAGATAGTACTTAATTAATTTAGTTTTTATTTTTTAAATAAAAATTTATTTTTCTATTGCAGAATTTTATTCCTATTTTATTACAGTTCAATAAAAATTTTTATAGAAAATATTTTTTATCTTAAATAATATCTAGAAATAATAATACGTCAATATTCGTGTATATGCATATATATGCATATAATTCAAAATAAATATTATGCCGTATTTTGTTTATAATTTAGAGTCAATGATGACACGACGATGGAGAATCTGTATATATGCATTTGTATTTGTATTTATACTTTTATGATAGCTTTATTTATTTATCTTTAAGAAATTAAATGTATAAAATTATTTAAGAATCTCTTTCTTACGTCAGTATATAATGGAATTATAATTTTATAAAGCAGCATTAGGATTAATTACTACTCTATAGATAAAAGAAATTAGCTAAAATTAATATAAAAAAACCTATGTTTTATAGCCGACAATTTACAACCATCCTTTCTCTTTGTAGTTACAAGAAGAGCAAAAGAGTTTGTTTTATTTAAGTGTGTGATATTTAAAGCTTCATGATTTAATATGATAAACTAATTTTTTTTAGAATTTTGCAGAATTGTTTATTATATGCAAACCAAATTTTTATTTATGAAAATTATAAATATTAACATTAAAATAATATTTGAAAAATATAGATTTTTAACAATTTATAAATAATAGAAATAACTTTGAAAATAGCAACATATATAAAACATAATAGTAGCCAAGATTCCTGTTTCTTTTCACTTATATCTAGAAAAATTTTTTATAAAACTTTAATTATGAGATATTTTAATGATTTAAAATATCTCAAAGTGTTACGAAATATCTCTATGTATCTGTCTTGTTTATGTATTCGCATGTGTTGTATAATTGATTATTGTGATAATAATAATATAAGAATTGCTATCAAAACTATTAAAAAATATCTCATTTTAACAATTTTTTATATGAAAAAGTATAACATTAATAATTATTATACTAGTTTATGCAAATTTATTATTTATAGAATACTAAATCCACCATCGTGCTACCAGTGCAAGGAAGTTCGGAGATGTGCCACTTTTGCAATAAAAGGGTTTATTTAATGGAAAGACTTAGTGCGGAAGGCAAATTCTTTCATCGTGGTTGTTTTCGATGCGAATATTGCTCTACCTCATTAAGAATAGGTAATATTTGTATTTTTCTTATAATGTATTGCCCAGTAAACACTGATATAATGTTATATAAAAGCAATAAAACGGAATTACAAGTAATATATACAGGGTGTATCAGACCACCCGTGCCAGCCGAATATCTCAAAAACCGAGAACGGCAGACAAAAATATTTCGTATAAAAGTTGTAGGGTTTCGAGTAACGCATTACATAGTAATATTAGACCACTAATATTAATATTAGTAGTATGACCTTGAATAGCGTTGGCAAGGTCACGTAAAGATCACTGTCAATTTCTTAAATGGAATCCCCCATTTTTCATTACATATCCTTATTTTGGTAGCTTATTTCGGGAGCTTTCCAAAACACTGTATTTAAATGTTTTTTCATTGAGTACTTTTCGAGTTATGAGGTTTGAAATAATTTCTTAATTTTACATAAACCATAAAATATCTTGTAAAATATTCATTTTTCGATTATCTTACCTTAATACTTTTATGTACAAAATAATGAGAGGAATCAATTGATGTAAAGAAAACACATAGTTGTTTCTAAGAAAACATATGTAATTTGCAATTAACAATTCCATTTATTATTTTTTCTTAAAAACAACTCTATATTTTCTTTACACCAACTGATTCTTCTTATTATTTTGTACATAAACATATTAAGGTAAGATAATCGAAAAATATTTTACAAGATATTTTTATGGTTTATGTAAAATTAAGAAATGACTTCAAGCCTCATAACTCAAAAAGTACTTCATGGAAAAATAATTTATTATAGTGTTTTGGAAAGCTCTCGAGATAAGCTACAAGAATATGCAATGAAAAATAGTAGGTTCCATTTAAGAAATTGAAGGTGACCTTTACGTGACCTTGACAACGCTATTCAAGGTCATACTAATATTACTTATGTAATGCGTTACTCGAAACCCTACAACTTTTGTACGAAATATTTTTGTCTGCCGTTCTCGGTTTTTGAGATATTCGGCTGGCACGGGTGGTCTGATACATCCTGTATATTAGTTATAATTATTGATAAATTAATATTGGTTAATTATAATTTCCCAGTTATAAATGTAACATATATTCATGTAATATATCGTTACATCGTTATATTCCATATAGAATTGGTTCATATAGAATATTGGTCATATATAGATTATTTAAATAAAATAAATTACATATATATTTAATTTATAAAATTTGGGATTTATATAGAAACTTATATAGAAATTTCTTTGTGTTCAAATAAGTAATATGGACTATTTTCCATTTACCTGCTTCATTCCAAATAATCTGTTTAAAATTCTAAATCTTTTATTGTGATTATATTAGGATAAAATGACAAAAAAGGAATACTTTAAATCTTATACTTTTAATATACTTTTTAAATATACTTTTAATCTTACCTGTTCTTTGTAGACTTTATATTCGTCTTATGATTAAAAATTGAACACGAATTAGGTCAATCTAGTTTTATTGTGTAGTATAGTCAATAATATTCTATTACATTAATTGTTATAATATTACAAAATAATACATCTAATATATTTTATACTATAGAAATATTTTGCATTTGTTACTTCACGTTATATTATTGCAACAGTGTTTATTGGGTAATTACAAAAATGTAGGAAAACGAATTTATATATAATCATTTTATTAATATAACGATTTCAAAACTAATACGAACTGCTAAATATCGATATAGATAAAACTATTATATATATTTACAAATAGTAATATAAAGAATAACATAATTATTACAAAAAGTATACTATAAATATTTTGTAATATAATTTTTTTTTTATATGATGAAAGTTGATGTTCTTAAAATATGTTGAAAAACACAAAACAGATTCAATTTTTCTATATTTATCTATTTATTGAGATTTAAGGAATGAAATAACTCCTAAAAATTAACATTTATATGTGATTTTAAACAATTATCAAAATAATGACATATATAAAAACAAATAGTTTACACAAAACTTTTATGTACTTTATGATCTTATGTACTTTATTTCTCGATTTTTCAAAAATCTAATATTTTTAAAATACGTTCATTATTATATTATATTATCTTAATATACTATTATTATTTTTGTGAAATTTTTATCATATATGAATAATATTAAATCTCTGATTTTTATTTAAAAAATTGTAAATTCATAAAAATAGTTATAAAATGTATGAAAATTAAAATATGAAAAATTAGATTTTTGAAAAATTCAAATAATTTTTTGATGCACATAAAAAACTAAAAAAATTTTAATTAAAATATCTTTTCTATATATTATCATTTTGATGATAATTGCTTAGAATTAAATATAAACATTTTTAAAGGATTGTTTCACCCTTAATTCTAAAATAGGAATACAAAAAATTCTTATAAATATTTCTTAGATTTGTGTGTAATTTAACAATATATTTCAAGAGAATTACATTTTTGAACAGTTGTTACATGTTCTTTGTAAGTATTTATAAATTTTTGATTTATAAATTTTTATAATATAACTTGTATCAATGTTTTAATCACAAAACTTACATAATACATATTTTTATTATGTTTTTGTAATTATATATTATCGGCAATAATTATGACATTCTTTTAATTTTATATTTCATAGGAAATCATACGTTTGATCGAGAAAAAAATGGAGGCCGTTTTTATTGTACTCAACACTTTGGATTATCTGGAACGATGAAGACTAGAGCAGAAAAGAAGAGAATCAATTTAGTGAATAAGGAAAATGTACCTAATGCTGGAATTACTTTGAAAACACCAGAAAAGGTATAACAACAAATAATTTTTTATAATGACATAACAAAAGGCATCAAACGCTAAAGATAAAAGCCTAAATAAAATAATACTTTCTAAAGAATTTTAAAATCTAAATTTTACTGAAAATCTTCAATCTTACTGTCTATTTAAAAATAATATTCTAATAAATATATATATAAACATATATGCATATTTATATTAGGCTAAAATACCATTGGAAGGCATTGTTGGACTCGACCTCCTCGATCGTGGTCAAACTCCAGAGAGAATTGAATTTGAAAATCTAGCAGAAATGTCAGATCCTGAGGAAGCTCATAGTCAAATGGATGAGGATGAATGGACAGACAGAAATTTTGGTGTTTCTACTGCAGAAATGGGATCTAGTGATGATATTTCTGATATGAGGCAAGTTTTATATATATATGCAATATTCTTTATATTACATAGTTGTAATAATATTTTAATATTAATGTTTAATTTTGATACACAGTGATTCTGATGAAGATGATGAAATATTTGAGGAAGCTATAGATCAGCCACTAACAACTGAAGGAACTCTCGAGTTAGCTAAGAATTGGACATTGCGCTATTCTCATCCATATACTACAATCGGCCAGTCGGATACTGGCAGCAACGAATATGAAGATTCTAGTGACGAATACACTAGCGAAGGTATCATTCAATCGATTCAAAATCAATAGATAATCTTAGAGTTTTTAGTTTTCGTTTCTTCTCAATAAATACATTTTGTTGTAGGAATATAACGTGGAAATAACAAATAATATAACGCAAATTATCTTTATATAAAACTAATATATCATACATGTTATTTTGCAACATCACAACAATAATATATTATTGCAATTAACAATTACATACTTTTTCTTAAAAATAACTACATATTTTCTTTACATTAATTGATTTCTCTCATTATTTTGTACATAAAAATATTAAGGTAAGATAATCGAAAAATGAATATTTTACTAGATATTTTATGGTTTATGTAAAATTAAAAAATTATTTCGAGCCTCATAACTCGAAAAGTACTCAATGAAGAAATACTTTATTATAGTGTTTTGAAATGCTCTCGAGATAAGCTACAAGAATATGTAATGAGAGAGAGTAGGTTCCATTTAAGAAATTGAAGGTGATCTTCATGTGACCTTCAAATAACTCTTCAAGATCAAACCAATGGTACCATGTTATGTCCTCCTCGAAGCCATACAACTTTTGTCTAAAACACTTTCTAGTAAAACTCTTCCTTATCGAGATATTCGATCGTGTCCAGACTTTTTTAACACCCAATATAAATAGGGTGTCTCAAAAGTCCCGGACCGGTCGAATATTTCATAAATTATGCACTTTAGAAAGAAATGTTTCAGACAAAAGTTGTATGGCTTCAAGGAAGGGGGCTATCAGATAGTGGCAATGATTTGACATGGTAGAGTCATTTGAAAGTCACGTGAAGATCACTGTCAATTTCTTAAATGGAACTCCCTATTTTTCATTAAATATTCTGGTAGCTCACGTCGAGAGCTTTCCAAAACACTATAATTAAGTTAGTTTTCATTAAGTACTTTCCGAATTATGAGGCTTGAAATCATTTCTTAATTTTAGATAAACTGTAAAATGTCTTGTAAAATATTCATTTTTCGATTATCTTAGCTTAATACTTTCATGTACAAAATAATGAGAGGAATCAATTAGTGTAAAGAAAACACATAGTTGTTTTTATGAAAAAAATATGTAATTTGCAATTAACAATTACATATTTTTTTTAAAACAGCTATGTGTTTTCTTTACACCAATTGATTTCTCTCATTATTTTGTACATAAAAGTATTAAGGTAAGATAATCGAAAAATGAATATTTTACTAGATATTTTATGGTTTATGCAAAATTAAGAAATGATTTCAAGCCTCATAACTCGAAAAGTACTTAAAGAAGAAATACTTTATTATAGTGTTTTGGAAAGCTCTCGAGATTAGCTACACGAACATGTAATAAAAAATAGGGGGTTCCATTTAACAAATTGAAGGTGACTTTTATGTCACCTTCAAACGACTCTCCAAGGTCAAATCATTGCTACTATCTGATGGCCATACAACTTTTGTCTGAAACATTTCTTTCTAAAGTGCATAGTTTATGAAATATTCGACCGGTCCAGGACTTTTGGGACACCCTGTATATATGTATTACTTGTAACATTTCATTTTATTACTTTTATATAACATTATAATATAGTAATATTTATTGGGTTAATATATTTCATTGTGTTGTAGTTTTATAAATTTTATGTTCATACATCATCATATTACTAATCGAAAATCTGATTCCAAAGTTTATTTTCTTATATATTATAACATATATTATTATATAACTTTTGATTTCTCTTAGATGATGAAAGTGGAACTGCGACCGAAGACGAAGAGGACATACGCGCTCGAGAACTCCGAAAGCAAGAGGTATGGCTGAAGGTACCACCACGCAGCTCCGATACTGATACTGGCTCTGAAACAGAGGTGAAACATTTTCAAGACTCTATAGACTCTACTGTAGCTCAAGAATCACTCATTTCTTTCAAATCTAAAGTAATAGTACCCTTGGAATCCAACATGAATGTGAATGCTAATGAATCATTATCTGACAGAAACGATCTTAAAGAATCGCTAAAATCTTCCAATGAGGTTGCATTAACTTCTAATGAATTAGCTTTAAGTATTCATAATCAGGACACTATGACTTCCGCCGATAAAAATGGTACATCTCTCAATGTTGCTCCACAAACTTCCGAAAGTGTAATTCGCCTGACTAATTCGCTTTCTCCAATACCGGCCGATGCTGACGATAGTATCTCGAATTCAAAAAGATCTTTAATTTGCTCTACAAATATTCCTGCAAACAATTATTTAGACAAAGAAAACTGCAGCTCTGAGTACGAAAGTTTTGTGGACGAAAACGTTCAGCCTGATTTAAACAGTTCAGATAACAAATTAGATAGCAATAGTTTGCAAAATGATGTTGTCAATGTTGATATGAGAAATTTTAATTCAAATCCTATCGATTTAAGCATAAATGTTAATGATTCTAATTCAAATGATTTAATTAAGAAATCGTTAGATTTTCCTATAAATAATTTGGAAAAGGGTTTTGTTGCACAAAATGAAGAGGCTGGTTTGGAACAGGTTGCGAGAATTACACTTGCGGATGCTACACCTTGCACTGAAGTAAGCAAGGATCTCAAAGTTTCTGATAACGAAACTATTCTGAATGTTGGTGATTCACCGGGTGTGATCGCTTCGTCTTCGAATAAAAATAAAAACTGTCCATCCAATAATAATTCAGCTAGCAGCAATTGTTCAGATAATCTGGTAGAATATTTGAAATCTGACTTACTTGAAGAAACTGGCGTACACGAAGATATTTGTGTAATTAATCAAAGTGAGGATAATAATTCTACGAACAAAAATAAGAATGTTATCGTTGATGATAAAAATATTCATATAAGTGATATTCCTGACAAAGAAATTAACGTAGATGAAATACAAAAGTCCGTATACCCAACAGTGACAGTGACATCGCCATCTCCAACGCAGGAAATGCAGCTTGAAGAACTGCTTTTAGAAACTTCGAAATTATTAGTTCCCCTGGAATCGCATAATATTCCGAATTGTGACAATGCGTTTGATAAGCTGAAACGTGACTTGCAGCAACGAAAGGCAAAGAACAAAGCCGTAGGAAATGAACTTCGACCACTATCGATCGAAAGTGCCCGATTGAAAATGAGTAAATATTTCACTGAGAATAAGAAGGTGATTTCGAAACGTCAATCGACACGAAACGAAGCCACTGAAGACACATCTGAAATAGAAATGGTGAAGTTAGATATTAAGCCCAGATTATCCGGCAGGATAAATACAGAGGAAATGTTGAAGTACTTCGATAAGACCAATTCCTCGAGTAGTTGTGACAAATCTAAAGTTTCCAACGGAACTGAAGTCGCTATTGAGCAAAATAAACATGAAAAATTGAAAATTGATATCGAGGATTTAAACGATAACACAATTGATCAACAATTTAATCAAATCGAAGCGCAGAATGAGATTACGGATATGGAAGATAACGGAATGGATTCTCAATCTCGTTTGCCAGCATTTGGTCTTGTCGAATTGCAATCGCATTTAAATGATATTGAAATTGATTACGTCGATCCTCTGACATCAGATCATAATGTTCCTAAATTAGAGGATTACAATACTGAAGTTTCATATTTAGATATAGATACTGTTTTGCTTGTAGATGTAGAGAATAATCAATCTGATATTACAAATATGGAGAAAACAGAAAAAAATAATTCAATAAATAATATTTTGAAGAATGACATAAATGGCATACATAAAAAAGAAGAAGTTAATCTAAATTTAAGTAGCAGTCTAATAGATAATGATACAATTAATGATATTTTGCTTACAGATGTAGAAAATAATCAATCTGATTTTACGAATATAGAGAAAACAGAAAAAAATAATTCAATAAATAATATTTTGAAGAATGATGTAAATAACTCACAAGAAGAAAAAGAAGTTAATGTAAATTTGAGCAGCAGCCTAATAGATAATGATACAATTAATGATATTTTGCTTACGGATGTAAAAAATAATCGAGCTAATTTTACGAATATAGAGAAAACAGAAAAAAATAATTCAATAAATAATATTTTGAAGAATGATGTAAATAACTTACAAGAAGAAAAAGAAGTTAATGTAAATTTGAGCAGCCTAATAAATAATGATACGATTAATAAAGATAACGTAATTAATATTGATCCAGAGAGCAATATTTTAAATAATGAAGTAAACGAAGAAAGAAAAGAAAATTCAATATATTTAGACAAAATTGTTCTGGATGATAATAACAAAAAAATAGCGAATAAAATAGATATTTTGGATAAAGATAAAGACTTAAATAAAAAATTATTTGAAAATGCAACTGCAACTCCTAATTTATTCACAACTGCTCACACTGAACTTTCTCCCCCTGAAATCCCAGTAAGAAAAAAATCTGTAAAAAGAAGTCCAAAACCTTCATATCAAAGTCAAGATGTCGAGAATATATCGAAACAAAGTCAAACTATGCCTGAAATCCCGGCAAGGAAAAAGTCTGCAAAGAAAAACTTAAAATCTTTGAGTCAGGATGTTGAAGATATATCGAAGCTACAAGATCAAACTGTCAACAATATTTCAATATTATGTGAGAACAGCAAATTTAGTCAAAATGACAATGATATTTCTAACATTCAAAAGATTACTGAGGACTTTTCAGAAATTAAACCCAAAGGTATAAAAGATGTTACATTACCATCTCAAAGTATTAGTAATATCTCTAAAATGAATCAGGATATTTCAACTATCCAAAATCATGATTTCAAGAGCGTTCAAAAACCCCTAAAATTAAATGTCAAAAAATTAGAAAATGAGGATATAACGAATTTACACAACGAAATTAAGAAAGATAGCGTGAATACGACAGCGGAAAATCGAAATATTGCAGATATAACGTTACAAAATCAAAGCAAAAATATACCATCGATTGAAAAAACTCATTCTACAAATCGTTTACCAAATAAATCCGAGGAATTTACAAAATCTGTTTCTCATAGTAGCAATTCGAAAAAAGACAAATGCGTAATTTCGTGATATATTTATATAAAGTCATTTCAAGTCGTTTCAAAATTTTATATTTTATAATAATGTTTTACTTACAGAAGCTTAACTTAAATTATATTGAAGTTAGGATATATAATTTTCTATCGTTTTTTGATATAAAAAGCTTAAAAAAAATATAAAAGTTTAGAAGATTGAGCTTTTTGCAGTTATTGTCTTCAAAGTTTAGAAAGAGATATGTTTTTAAGAAATATATAAATAATTGTTGAATTATTACGAAAATAGTTTTTTATTTTAATTAAATTTCAGAAAATATAATTAGCAAAATTTTATTCTTGTATAGTTCAAGTAACATGAGAAACTTAATTTTGTGTCAAAATATTAACAATTAAATATTATTACAATTTAATATTAATAATTAAAAAATTGATAAATATACATAAAAGATTATATCATCCTGAGAGTATGTATTTTGTATATGTGTATATACATATGGAAATATACGTACATATGTATATATGTATGTACATATATATATATATATATATATATATATATATATATATATACATATATAAGGTGAGGAAAAAGTATGGAAACCCCTAAATTTTTCGAAAACTATACATTTTAGAAACAAATGTTTCAGATAAAAGTAAAGTTTCAAGTAACGCATTACGTAGCAATATCAGTATAACCTTGAATAGCACCGTCAAGGTCACATAAAAATCACTTTAAATTTTTTAAATGGAACTCTCTACTTTTTATTATATATTCTTGTAGCTTGTTTCAAGAGCTTTCCAAAACACTATAATAAAGTATTTTTTCAGGGAGTATACTTTTCAAGTTATAAGGCTTGAAATAATTTCTTAATTTTACATAAACCATAAACAATAAAATATTTTTTCTTCAAAACTATGTTTTTTCTTTACACCAATTGATTCTTCACATTATCTTATGCATAAAAGTATGAAGATGAGATAATAAAAAATGAATATTTTATTAAATATTTTATGGTTTATGTAAAATTAAGAAATTATCATTTCAAGCTTCATAACTCGAAAAGTACTCAATAAAAAAAACACTTTAATATAGTGTTTTGGAAAGCTCTTGAAACAAGCTACAAGAATGTGCAATAAAAAATAGGGAATTTTATTTAAAAAAATTGAAGTGACCGTCACGTGACCTTCAAATGACTCTTCAAGGTCAAACCAATGGTGGTACCATCTTATGGCCCCCTCGAAACCAAACAACTTTTGTCTGAAACATTTTTCTCTCCTGGGCTTGGTTTTCGAGATATTCGACTGGATGGATTAAAATGGGCCACCCTGTATATATATATAATATATATATATATATATATATATATAATATATATATATATATATATATATATATATATATATTATACATATGTAGGCATTTTTGCTTTCTGTGATATATTACTTTAAAAAATATTTTATTTTTATTCTTGATTCTATCTAGTTTTCTTATTATTACTCGTGGTATTTTTCTTTATTGACATTTTTATTTGTATATATTATCTCTTGAGTATGATTGTTATATTATTTTATCAACGAACATAAATATAAATAAATTAAAAATAAATTATACAGTTTAACATGAATGACCAACTGTTTCAAGTGATTGATCAGGATGTAATTTTTTATGTATATTTATCAAAAAGTCTAGTATTAACAATGAAAATACGGCATATAAACAAACTTTCGATAACTCAACAACAAATCAACTTCAAATTGAGAGAGAGAATTTATATATATTTATATTGTATACTAGCTCGATGCAATAATACTATATGTGTATTATATAATTGATTATTGAGTATCGCGATTATTCTGTATTTTGTATGTATGAATGAATTTATCTGATTCTTGTCCGATTTGCAATTTTAAATTTCTGCAGATTTACGAATCTATAGGTTTCATTTTTTTCACACTTAAAAGATTGAAAATCTACAATTGTATTCCACGATTCTATGCGTGGATATTTATATATATATGTATATATATATATATATATATATATATATATATATACACAGTGTTTGCTGTAGATAATTTCAAAATTATCTAGATAAAGATAAAAATCCGTAAATTTATCTTAGATGAGATAATGATAATTTTGCTTTTACTTAATCTAGATGAAAGATGAGATAATTATTGCGATAATCTAGATAATTATCTAGATATTTTTGTTTATTTTTGAAGACTATAAATATTTGTAAAACATGTTACGCAGATTATAAATGGGATATTAAAATCATAAACACATTCTTTCTCTTTTCCTAAAGAATATTTAAATAATAGCAAAAAGGTATATAAATGACACGATAAATATTTATTTATTAATTTATATTTATAATATATTTATAATATATTAATAATATAAAAAATATATTTTAGATATTTTAGATAGATTTTTAGAAGCATGCCTGGAAAACTTTTTTGCATAATGAAAACGTCATCTTAGACAATTTTTAGATAAGATGACATATATTTTTCATCTAAGATAAAGATAAAGATACTTTGTATTTCTTCATCTAGTTAAAGATGAGCCATTTCTTTATCTAGATGATTATCTAGATAATTTTATCTAGATACCAGCAAACACTATATATATATATATATATATATATATATATATATATATATATATCATTAATATATATATTGTAATTTTGCTTTTAAATTGTGACTTTAAACTCGAGAAAACTGTGAGATGTGTTAATAAAGTAGACAAAAAAGAAACATGTGTATAAATCTTGGCTGGTGATTGACTTTTTGATTTTCAAAAGGGATAATTTTTAATCAACTATAAGAAGCGCTAAAGAAAAGGTAATAATTTTATTGTGTATGAATGGAGTGTTATTGAACTAATTTATCATTAACAGACTCATTAATCGTTTGTGTTTGTTTTAGTGCTCGTGTTAAAAATAGTTTACTCATCAGTTTTGACTAATTTGTTTAAAGATTACCAGCCGATACTTTATTAAATGTCTCACCACATTCTCATTTTAATTACAAAACTTAAATCTTGTTATATAAATTTGATACATATACCAGACATATAGTTACATGTATACAAAATAAATATATTATATAATGCATTTGTTTAACATTAAGAATGAACAGATCTTTTTAACAAATCTTTGAATATTTCCTTTAAAGATTTTATAATTATAATAATCATAATATGATTGATATACTGATGATGATGTTTTTGCAATACTTGGACATTTAACATAATTCAAGTAAAAAGTAAATTAACACGAACGAAAATTAGCCAATGAAATGTAAGATTAATTTAAATATTAATTTAAATATTAATTTAAATATTAATTTAAATATTAATTTACATACAGGATGTCCTATAGAAAATTACTGAAAGCAATAAGTTATTACTTTTAAAAGCATATAAAGAGCAGAAAAAGTAAAATATCTTTATATGCAAATAAAATTGCTAAGTCTCTTAAAAGCCTATTAAAAGAGATTTTACTTTCTCTGCTCTTCATATGCGTTTAAAAATAACTACTAATTATTTTCAACAACTTTTTGAGATACTCTGTAATTACTAATTAGTATTGCTACGTAATTCCAGAAATGCTCTTATATTTTGCGTGAATGCGTGTCTGTTGCAACATATAAGATTGAAAGAAAACAATTATCTTTTGATATTATTCGAATCAGTTTTTGAACATTTATAAACACATAATATAATAGTATAATGTGATAAATTTTGGCTTTACTTTTTTTCTTTAGTTAGTTTACTTTTTTTTATTTGTTTTATATATTTAATTTATATATTTGTTTTTTATATTTAATATTTATGTTTTTTATATTTTTCTTATCATTTATCATATAATATACGATTGACTTAAAAGAATAATATACGATTGACTTAAAAGAATAAGTTTAAACTAATGTACTTTGACTTAAAAGAATAATATACGATTGACTTAAAAGAATAAGTTTAAACTAATGTACTTTTGTAAACAAAAATTTTGCGATATTTTATAACTAGGCCATAATATTTTAGCCATAATATAGCACTATTTAGGCAACACTTACAAAAATAACATTTTCATTAATGCATTTTAAAACATGTCTTAATTTACACGCAATAATAAAATTGCATCCAATGCATACTATAAGCAGAATATTAGCATATTTGTGGCTCTTTACTAATTTACTAAACTTAACTAATGTCTGTCTATACAGAGTGACCCCGAACGTTCCAGCCAGACTTTGAGATCTTATAGGAAATTTAATTCTGAACAAAAAATTTTCGATAAACATGGGTCGAAAAATGCTTCCTTAAAAAGTTATCGCTCAAAAACCTCTGATGAAGGAAGAGCAAAAGGAGAAAAGAAAATGAAACTAAATAAATTTCTTGATAAACGTCTTTATTCATTTTCTAGTATTACGTGCTATTACTAAAATATTAGTTAAAAAAAAAATTATTTTATTTTTATAAAAAAAAAAGATTTTTATTTTTTATTTTTATCGTTTTTTTCAAGAAATGTATTTAGTTTCATTTTCTTTTTATTTCATTTTCTTTTTATCATTTGCTCTTCCTTCATCAGAGGTTTTTGAGCAATAACTTCTTAAGGAAGCATTTGTCGACCCATATTTATAGGCAGTGTTTGCTGTAGATAATTTCAAAATTATTTAGATAAAAATAAAGATAAAAATCCGCAAATTTATCTTAGATAAAGATGATTTTGCTTTTACCTAATCTAGATGAAAGATGAGATAATTATAGTAATAATCTAGATAATTATTTAGATATTTTTGTTTATTTTAGAAGACTATAAATATTTGTAAAATATGTGACGCAGATTATAAATGAGATATTAAAATCATAAACACATATTCTTCCTCTTTTCCTAAAGAATATTTAAATAATAACAAAAAGGTATATAAATGATATGATAAATATTTATTTATTAATTTATATTTATAATAAATTTATAATATATTAATAATATAATAATAATATATTTATAATATATTAATAATAATAATAATATAAAAAATATATTTTAGATATTTTAGATAGATTTTTAGAAGCTTGCTTTAGATTTTTGGAAAGCCTTTTTGCATAATGAAAACGTCATCTTAGACAATTTTTAGATAAGATGACATATATTTTTCATCTAAGATAAAGATAAAAATACTTTGTATTTCTTTATCTAGTTAAAGATAAAGATGATCCATTTCTTTATCTAGATGATTATCTAGATAATTTTATCTAGATACCAGCAAACACAGTTTATAGGAAATTTTTTGGTCAGAAATAAATTTCCTATAAGAATATTTATTTAATATTTATTTCTGACCAAAAAATTTCCTATAAGATCTCAAAGCCTGGCTGGAGCATTCGGGGCTACCCTGTATATCCTACTGTAATATTCATTCAACACAATCACTTTATTTCGCAGGTTGCTTCTTCGGAGGACGCATCGACTGAAGAAAGCGCAGAAAATTCTGCAACAGAGATCTCGACTGATTCAGAATTCGAACACGATGAGGCAACTCCGACACAGCACGAGATTCCTGAGATCACTATCAATGATTCGTACGTGCGGAAAACAAGAGGTACTTACGTCGAGCCGAAGAAAGTGCAGATCAAGAGCAAGATGATCTCTTCGATCAATAGCAACCTAAAGCAGGACAAGAAGCAACAAGATATCAGCAACGAGCAGCTCATGAAGGACAATCAAGTTAAATACGAGCCGAGTAAGGAGGTGAACTGCAACGTGTCGACTGCTGTCGACACGAATATCCGAACACCATTGCTGAACCCACGAAAGGGGGATTATCTTTTGAATCGCACTCATTCCACCGGAGGAATCGCCTCGAGACTCTCTTTAGAGTTGAAAAAACGTTATTTACTGGGTGGATCGGTTTTGAGTGGTTCCGTTGTAAAATCAGGCTCGACGTCGAATGTGGATACGAAGCTGAGAAACTTCACTGATGCGATCTCCCAGCATCAAAAGCTGTTAAATCCGGCGCCGGAACCCAGTCCTACCATGCAAGCATTTCTCCAAGGTATCTTTTTAGTGTTGATTATAATTGTTGACAACATGACAACGATATTAATATTGTCCCCTTTTAATCGATCACTCCGAATAACTTTTTTTAATTTTGATTGTAGGAAAATATGTTTCAGACAAAAGTTGTATGGCTTGAAGGGGAACATAAGATAGTGTCATTAGTTTGACATTGAAGAGTTATCTGAAGGTCACGTGAAGATCACATCCAACTTTTTGAATGGGACATCCTATATGCTTTTGCATATTCTTATAATTCATCTCGAGAGCTTTCCAAAACACTATAATTAAGTTAGTTTTCATTAGGTACTTTCCGAATTATGAGGCTTGAAATCATTTCTTAATTTTAGATAAACTGTAAAATGTCTTGTAAAATATTCATTTTTCGATTATCTTAGCTTAATACTTTCATGTACAAAATAATAAGAGGAATCAATTGGTGTAAAGAAAACACATAATTGTTTTGAAGAAAAAATATGTAATTGTTAATTACAAATTACATATTTTTTCTTCGAAACAATTATGTTTTCTTTACACCAATTGATTCCTCTTATTATTTTATACATAAAAGTATTAAGATAAGATAATAAAAAAATGAATATTTTACGGTTTATGTAAAATTAAGATATTACTTCAAGCCTCAACTCGGAAAGTACTCAATGAAAAAATATTTTATTTTAGTGTTTTGGAAAGCTCTTGAGGCAAGCTACAAGAATATGCAAAAATATATAGGGTGTCCCGTTTAAAAAGTTGAAGGTGACCTTCACGTGACCTTCGAACGACTTCAAGGTCAAACCAATGACACCATTTTATGTCCCTCTTCAAGCCATACAACTTTTGTCTGAAACATTTTTTTCTACAATATTAAAAAAGTTATTCAGGGTGATCTCTTAAAATGGGACACCCTGTATATACAGGGTGTCCCGAAACTCATAATCAATGTTTCAAAGACATATTCCTGGGATCATCTGAAGACGATTTTTCCTCAACGAAAATGTCGAGGCACTAATAATTTTCGAATTATAAGTGATTGGAAATAAGAGGTTTTTCGTAAACTAAGCTTTGTATATAGAAATAAAATATTAAAATATTCTTCGATTAATTTTAAATAAAGTTTACTTTAGTTGAGTTTAATTTAAGACTTAATTGTAAAGATATATGATGACAAAAATCGGGAACATGGAAAAAAATGGTGGCCTTCATCGACATTTTTGCTGAGGAAAATCGTCTCCAAATAATCCCAGGAATCTGTCTTTGAAAGATTGATTATGAGTTTTGGGACACTCTGTATATATATGTATGTGTATACAGTTTCGATGTTTTATCTTAGTAACATATTTTCTCTTTATAATATCTGAATTTTCGGATATTTTATAAAACATTTTTCTGATACATTGAAATAATACTATATGATTTGTGTTTTATTGATTAAAAAGAATCGAGATAATCGGTAAAGTTATTTTTCTTTTTCATAAAAAGCATTATATCCATAATATTACAATTATATTAAATTATATAATTAATATATATTTATTATATAATTATATATTATTATTTATAATTATATTAATATATTATTTATAATTAATATTTTTATTTTATATATTTATTTTATTAATAATTAATATTCATATATTTATTTTATTAATAATTAATATTTTCACTTTATATATTTATTTTATTAATAATTATATTAATATATTATTATTTATAATTATATTAAATTATATAGTTATAAATTATATAATTTTTTCAAGGTACTAGTAAGCTGCGAGCCAACAATGCGCCGCTTTCTCCATTATCACCGACAATTTTATTTTCACGACAATTTTCAACTGATCGCTGCCGAAATTTATCAAACGATATTGCATACAAGCCGACAACTCCGACAGAAAATCCGTCCAAAGCACAGCAATTACCTGATTTAGTGAAGGAATCCAGTATTTTAAAATCAAAGACAGCACCCAACATCTGCGGGGAGTCTTCGATAAAGGACAAAGAGTTAATCGATAAATCAGGCTTTCTACATCAAACTAATAATTCGACCAAGGATTCCGTAGAAGACATGAAAAATTCGCAGAATACAGAGAAATTATTTCTAAGCAGCACAGAAGAAAGTAATGGTTTCCGGCCACGTAGTCCCCTTCACGAGACGTCCATTGTTGTCCCACAAGTAGATTGGAACAAGAAGAAGAACGAGGCTAAAGATGCCAGCTCAGGCGATTCTGAGATAGACAGCGATTCTTTATCCTCTTCTGATTCCAACGAGGCGGTTGAGAACGACGAATTTGTCGCTATAAATCTCTCGCCACCCAGATTACAGATTCACAGTACTGATGGTGATCTTCTGCTGGACGAGAGAGTCGATCGATACAAATCGATCGATTACGATCCCGACGATGGTCAGACCTTCGAGCCGGATTCCATCGAGGTCTCCTTCCTCCAGGATCGCCGATTAATCGATTCATCGAATATCGACTCGTCCATAGACAATGCACGCCCCATTGAGATCCTAAACAATAATATGGAACAATTGGACCTGCGGGACAGTAAAAAGGACTGCAGCAGCTCCTCCGAAGTTTCGGCGATGTCCAACAAGCAGGATGATTCCGAAGAGAACGATATTACCACCGCGGCATTTACCGAGACAGAATTCTCGGAATGGGCTCGAGATGGGGAAGCTTTGGTCTCTGACGATCTTCGCGACGTGGAACTCGACATTGATCCTAATTTTATCACCATACGAAGAAATAACGCAAGGTTGACTTCCACGCCTGTGAAAATCTCAAAAGAGGAGGACACAGAACTCAAATACCCGAACAATAGTACATCGAAGTTATTGGTGAACGGCGAGGATATTAATTACATGGACACGGACAACGAATCACTGCTGGATGACAGTCTCCAGGACGCTTCCAATATCGCAATGTTGAGAAATCGAGGCTACATCGAGTTCGTAAACGTTAAGACAATTCTTCCTGATGTCCCATCGTGCAATTTATCGATCGCTGATGCCCCAATAGCAAAGTTGGACCTGGAAAACGATTCCTACAGCGAAGAGGAAGAGGGCTTCAAGGATGCCAATGTGATTGAGATTGATCCTATTACTATGGAGGATGTGATCAACAAGCTGAACGAGCCTGTCGTGAATAAATCATCAGGAAGATCAGAAATTCAAGCAACTGAGGAACAAGGTGAAGAGAGGTTTGAGAAGAACACAACGCAGGAGCCATTGGTGGAAGCTATTAACAAGGAATTATTTCAATCGATGGAGGAAGACAGTTTATTAATAATGGAGCAGGCAGAAGACACAACGACCAGCGAAGTAGTTACTATACTCGCCAGTCCGGTTAATCCTCAGATATCTATAGTTCCTCTAGAAGTGACGGAAAAGCGCGACGAGCCAGCTAAAGCGGATTCCAATAATCCAGACTACTTAGAATACGTAAAAAGGCTGCAGTTTCGAATCGCGGAATTTAGCAACGCGAAAGATTCTATCGATGTGAGAAAATCGAAGAGGAAAAATTCGAAGAGCCTGGCACAAACTGCGGAAATAATTACCGAAGAGATCAAGTGTCAGGAAACAACAGCAAACAATAGTAGTATTAATTCACCGGCGACCTCGAGAAAGCTTGAAGAAATCACCAGAGAGCGATCGAAGCAGAAGAATGTCATTCAGGACCTCCTGATGGATAAGGTCGAGGCTCACAAGCAAAAGTCAGCCGAAAAGAAGGCTCGAAGAGCCGCCAGAGCCTCATCCTTTACCACAATGCTGTCGCCAATGAAACAGGATCTATCGTCTAACGTTTCTTCCATCGGTAACAAGTTTGTGCCTGCTTCTATAACATCAACAAACAGTCCACCTGGCACTTCCGACGAGGCAAATAAATTACTGGAGTCCTCACGCTCTCATGAGCAATGTGATCGAGTAGAAACCAAAGAACAAAGTCCAAAGAGGACCGATCAGTTGAACGAATCGCGAATGGCAGACAAGAGACCGACTAGTCTGGAAGATATCTTCAAGACGCCAATCGCCCCACCAAGATATAAGAGCGAGGAAGCGAGGAAAACAGCTGAGAAGGCCAGGCAAGATGCCAGAGAACGAGCCAGGATGAAGAGCGATGAGGATCTAGGTTTAAGTCCCGAAGATAGGATCAAGGAATTGAGAATGAAGATTACTCGCAGGCAACTTTCGATGGATGATGCGAGAAGTGATGATACGTCAGAAGTTGAGAGAGCCAAGTCCTCCTATTTCAGCCCCACAGATCATTCTAAGTTGAAATTGCAAACCAGTAAAAGTACTGACAATATGAAGAATATCGCGAAAAGGATAAATTTTCAGAAATTGCCGGCTGCCAGCGCGAAATCAATGGACGAATTGTTGAACACCGCAGGTTTATCGTGTTCAGATAATAGTGCAATGATTAAGAGAGATAAAAAGAAAGTGAAAGATTCAGAGAGAAGGAAAAGCATTATACAAGCAGTATCAGATTTTTTCTTCAAGAAGGAAACCACTCCATCACCTACCCAGAAAGACAAGCTGTCAATGTTTCGACTCACTTCGAAATCAAAAGGAAAGGTAGTATTATTGCTGACGTACCCTTAAAATATTTATAAGCACTAATAATCAATATTAATTCTTTTTTACAATTTTTGACATTTATTATAATTTAATAATAATTTTTGTTAATAATAACTTTTGTAATTTTTTACATTTATTATAATTTAATAATAATTTTTGTTAATAATAATTTTTGTAATTTTTTACATTTATTATAATTTAATAATAATTTTTGTTAATAATTTTTGTAATTTTTTAAATAATAATTTTTGTTCATTTATATTTTATTATTTATATATATATTATTATGATATATATATTATTTATATATATATTATTTATATATATTATTCATTTCATTTATATTTATTAACTTCTTACGTTTTTATATCATTAAAAAGAATCACGTTCAAGAAACGTTTGTATTATTATTGTATTTTGCTTTATTACTTTTATGTAATTCGCAACATACTTGTTTTTAAATATTATTTTTGTGAACTATTTTATTAAGATTCTCACGAATTGTTAATTTTTAATTTTTAATATAAATATATTGTACGTAAGCTATGTTGTTCCTTGAGTTTGTTTATCATTTTGTTCAACAAAGCAAATCTATAAATATAATTGTCAATTTTCATGATATATATATATATATATATATATATATATATATATATATATATATTTATTTTATAAAATATTTTATAAAATGTTTTAATATTTTACAATATTTTATATTTGATATTTTTTTGTGTGACATTTATTTTTCCTAGATTTTTATTGGTGATAGCTCTATTATTATTTTATTTTATTAAATAAAAATTATTAAATAAAAAATTTATTAATAAAAATCTTATTTATTATTTATTTATTCTTATTTATTTATTTATTATTTTTAAAAATATATATTATTATTAAATAATATTTTTAAATATTATTATTAAATATATTATTATTAAAATATATTATTATTAAATATTATTATTAAATAATATTTATTAAATATTATTATTAAATATATATTATTATTAAATATATATTATTATTTAATAATAATATATTATTATTATTAAAATGTCATTTATTATTTAATTATTCTTATTTATTTATTTATTATTTATTTTAAAATTTTATGATTGTAACGTTCAAAATAATCATTTAAATTTTTAACTTTATTTTTTCTAATTGATATTTTAAAATTCTTTACAGTTCGACAAAATGGTCTCGTCAAAATCTGATACAAGACCTAAAAGCATGTGTGAAGACATACTTGTACGAAATTTTGTCACTGAAAATTCACCACCCGTGCCACCACCACCACTTAATTACTCTGTCTCTACCAGTCAAGTATCAGGTACGAATTACTTTTCGCCAATTTTACAAATATAACATATTATATAATTGTTCAATTTAGCAAAGTATATTTATGTAATATGTCTACATATATTTATTATACTTATAATGATAATAAAAATGCATGAATTCCATTGAATCATTAGAAACAAAATATTATATAATAGAGCAAAACAAAAATTTTAGAAATTGCAGATAACAGTTTGTCGGATGACGATACAAAAACGGCTGCTTTGTCGACATCGTGTACACAAAAAGTTACTGTAACTGAAGAATCGTGCAATAGCGTTCCACGCAAATCAAAGTCTGCTAAAAAAGTAGCTAGACAAGCCCAATTAAAGAGGTAAAATTATACTCATGTAAAATCTAAAACAATTAAAAGAATAACTTATGCTCAGTTAAATACACTAATTTTTTTAGAAAAATATTAGAAAAACTTTCACAATAATTAAATATAATACAATAATATAATAGTCATTTTACTTATGAAATATTTCGAAATTCATGACGAATATATAGCGGATTTTTTTTTAAATCTTAAAATATCAAAATATCAAAATATTTGTGTATTTGTTTTATAATTTTTTTAATTTTTTAAAATCTGTAGAAGATATTCTCTCTAATAAATTAAACGAGTTAAATTTTATTTCATCATTCTTGGCGTTTAATACACAAATATTTAAAAAACAGCTTCAACTTGAAAACATTGTTAATATAGATATATTTTAAAGATTACGTATGGCTCAAGAAATACAGAGAAAATTAGAGGAAACTGAAGTGAAACAGAAAGAATTGGAAAGTCGAGGTGTAAGTGTCGAGAAAGCACTACGTGGTGAAGGAGGTAATACATTTTTATGTACGCATACGAAGATCCTGATCTTTTTAAAAAAAATTAAAAAAAAAATATTTTAAATTTTATTATTACTATTTAATTTTAAATTTTGTTATAGTTAAAGCATAACATGGCGTTCCTAAGATTGAGTAGTCAACATGTGGAATAACCAAATGTTTTTAGTCAATTTTAGAGTGATTAATAAAAGCTGATCAAATTTAGAAATTAAAAGGATTCCCTCGAATTTTAACTAGTCAATCTTAGGTGTGAATTAATTCGGGCCTTGTCTATTAAAAAATAAAAGCAAGATTTTTGATTAATGTTTTTATTATGTTAACATAAACCTTTTTTTTTAATTACTTTATTCTTGTAGTTCATTGTCCTTAAGGGTAATTATGTATAAAATGGGCAACCTCACAGATTATTTTGATCTTAAATATATGTTGTTAAGGTCATCGTTCTGAATCGTCCTAATCCAAAATTCGCGCAGCAGTCGTGCTTCCTTGAGAATTTATGAAACATTGAAGCTTGAAAAATGTAAGTAGAAATGGTAATTATTTAGAGATAGGGATCATCTCTCGATTTCAATAATTTCAATAATTTCAATAATTTAAAACATGTTATCAAGGTCATTATCGTAACTAATGTTGTGAAAATTTTTGCTTAATTAATTAAAAACTTTATTAACAAAGAAAATATAATGAGTAGTATATTATTTTTTTAACCGAATGACCGATATTTTCAAGTGACAGATATTTTCAAGATCATTCATCATCAAGAGGGGTGAAGGCCTCTTTCCCTACACCTTCTTCCTAAAAACTAACTTAACTCAAACGTAATTTGAATGTAAAATCAAAAATACATATTTATTTAAATATTTCTTTTTTATCTTTAATGCTTCATATTCTAAGCAAACTTGCAATGCTTCATAGCTTCTCAAACACTGCTGCATAGTTTTAGATCATAATGATTCAGGCTGATGATCTTAACAACATGTAAGATCATGATCATCCATGAGGTTGCCCACTTTATGCACAATTATCATGTAATTATAAATATGTAATTTTTTGCGTCATACATACACACACACACGCGCGCGCGCGCGCGGTGTTTTATTTTAATTTCCTCAGGCAAATATTTTGGAAAAGAATGAAAAATCGAAAAAAATGTTTCAGACAAAAGTTGTATGGTTTCTAGGGGGACATAAGATGGTGCCATTGGTTTGACCTTGAAGAGTCATTTGAAGATCACATGAAGGTCACTTTAATTTTATTAAATGGAATATCCTATACATTCTTGTAGCTCATCTCGAGAGCTTTCCAAAACACTATAATTAAATTAGTTTACATTAAGTACTTTTCGAGTTATGAGGCTTGAAATTATTTCTTAATTTTACATAAATCGTAAAATATCTTGTAAAATAGTCATTTTTCGATTATCTTATCTTAATACTTTTATGTACAAAATAATGAGAGGAATCAATTGGTATAAAGAAAACGCAGAGTTGTTTCAAAGAAAAAATATATAATTGTTAATTGCAAATTACAATTTTTTTTAAATAATTATGTGTTTTCTTTACCAATTTTATACCAATTGATTCCTCTCATTATTTTGTACATAAAAGTATTAAGATAAGATAATCGAAAAATGAATATTTTACAAGATATTTTAAGGTTTATAAAATTAGGAAATAATTTCAAGCCTCATAACTCGGAAAGTACTTTATGAAAAATAACTTAATTTTAGTGTTTTGGAAAGCTCTCGAGATGAGCTAGAAGAATATGCAAAAATATATAAAGTGTTGCATTTAAGAAATTCAAAATGACCTTCATGTAACCTTCATGTGACTCTTCAAGGTCAAACTAATGGCATCTTATCCCTCTAGAAACCATACAACCTTTTTCTGAAACATTTTTTCGATTTTTCATTATTTTCCGAAATATTTGTCTGGGGATGTTAAAATAAAATATTCTGTGTGTATATATATATATATATATATATATATATATATATATATATATATATATATATACAGGGTGAGGAAAAAGTACCGGGACACCTAAATAACTTCTGAACGGTTTGAGACATCGGATTGAAATTTACAAGGTTACAATGGTATCACACAATCTATCACAAAACACCAAAAATGCCCATTTTGACATCCCCGGGGGACGGGGGGGAGGGAAGGCGAGAAAATTTTAAATGGAATGTGGGGTCGAATGAGGGTTTGTTTGAAAGAGCTTTTCGAGATGAGAACAACGCGATGTCGCCGAGGTCTCTACGATTTTTTTTCGCAGAGTTATGATCATTTAAACATTGAGATTTCGCAGTAGCGGAGGACCCACGACGAGGACGTGAGAAAGACTTTCCGCGGACACGTGTGGATAAAATTGCATGTAGGAAGGCATGTGGGGTGTGCCGTTTCATCTTTTTATCATCGGATAGCCTGTTGTCAAACAGTTGACGGTGCACATTTTGAACAATTGATATAAACCTTCCTATACTTGCCTTAGTTAATTACATACTACATCCTCGGTCTTGCACACACATACACATACACACACACACGCACACAGCAGAGGTGATTTGGAGTCGTTAATTACTGCGCAAGCACGCACACTCCACATGCCTTCCTACATGCAATTTTATCCACACGTGTCCGCGGAAAGTCTTTCTCACGTCCTCGTCGTGGGCCCTCCGCTACTGCGAAATCTCAATGTTTAAATGATCATAACTCTGCGAAAAAAAATCGTAGAGACCTCGGCGACATCGCGTTGTTCTCATCTCGAAAAGCTCTTTCAAACGAACCCTCACTCGACCCCACATTCCATTTAAAATTTTCTCGCCCTCCCTCCCCCCCGCCTCCCGGGGGTGTCAAAATGGGCGTTTTTGGTGTTATCTGATAGATTGTGTGATACCATTGTAACCTTGTAAATTTCAATCCGATATCTCAAACGGTTCAGAAGTTATTTAGGTGTCCCGGTACTTTTTCCTCACCCTGTATATAAATATATATATATATATATATATATATCATAACATGCACCTGCAAGGCACATATCAGATTTAGATGGCCTCATCATATCTTATAATCATATTTAGGATTGACTAATAAAATTCGAAGTGAGTCTTTTAATTTCTATCTTTAACCAGTTAGTTATTTCTAGGATTAACTAATACATTAGTCAAAATACAAAATTACTTCGATTTTTGACTAAAACGCTTGTTCTGCACATTGACCTCTTAATCCTAAGAGCGCCCGTGCTACGCGGACTTTGACTATAACAAATATATTTAATATTATATATACATATGTAGATGAGTATGTAGATAAGTATGTGAGTAAAAGAGAAAAAAAATTAATTAAACTTTTTGCTCTCATCTATAAATGTAATATAATTTGTGAATCATAAATTCTAATTTTTATTTTATTCAATATATATATTAATAATTTTTTGTTTCACATTTTTTTATTTGTTAATATAATATAATATATAATAAAATTTTTTATTGGAATATTACATTTATTTTTAAATAAACATAATAGAGAAAAATAAATATATCATGCATTTTATATAAAAGGGAAAAGAATACAGTTTGAAAATTTATATGTAATTTTATTTAGATTGTTCCAATCATGAAGAAGCTGATTTACTTAGAGAATGGTTTGATCTGATGAAGGAACGCACAGAACTGCGTAGATATGAAAAAGAGCTTCTAGTACGCGCACAAGAAGTTCAATTAGAAGATCGTCATGAACGATTGCAACAAGAATTGCGTGAACGTTTGGCTAATGATGGTAAATATTTTTCTTTCTAATTCATTCATCTGTATAAGATAATTACAATTAATTGCAGAATATATGAAAGGTCTTGTACAAAGGATGAATATAAAATATCGTGCTAATGATGTAGATATAAATGATACCTTTTTTTTTATTCAAAAATACAATATACAACTAACAATGTTCATACAGCATTTACACCAAGGAAATATTAAAATAATTTACAATGTATATATTATAGCCATTATTAATAATTTTCTTGTTTATTTCTATAATTTATTTTTCCTTTTTTTTATAAAATATTGCTTACATCTTTATCAAATATAATCATTACTTTTTACGTTTTAATATAAATTTCTGATATATTAGAAAATAATAATTGAAATATTAAATTAGCATTAATTAATAATAATTTGAATTTAAAATTTATTGATTTATATATAATTTATATAAGATATTTCACACATTGAAAATTTTAAATTGGCGCGGCTAATATATAGTAATTTTCTATAGAAATATTTCCTGTAAAGAGAAATTCAATATGATATTTTTTTTTCCTTAAAACTTTGCTACTAAATATAAAGATTAATAATAAAATCATTATACGGATATATATATGTATATTATAAATAAAAAAATATTGCATAATATTATAAAATAGAGGTAAAATAATTGTATGATAAACATCACGTCACATTATTTTAGATGATAAGAAGACTAGTGATGATGTTAAAAAAGAAGGAGAAATCTTGACGGAGATGTTGGAAATAGTAGCAAAGAGGGATTCCTTAATCTCTTTGTTAGAAGAAGAACGACAAAGGTGGTGTAGCTCATCATATTTGACTTGCACTACTTCTATACATATGAATGCATGTTACATCCGTATTTCGAAAATGTCTTTGCATAATTCAGAATATTTGTCTTGCACTTTTAGATTGTTATTATTATTAATTATTTTATTTATGTATATTTTCTTACTTTACGTAGCAGAAATATTTATCAATTATAATAAGGAGTTACTAGTATTTTTTAAATTTTAAAATTTCCAAAAATTTATACGCATTTGAAATGTCATTAATACATGTCAATACATGCTTTTTTTGGTACACAGTAAAAAATTTTCTGTTAAATTTAACAGAAGGCAAGTATGTAAATAAATAACACAAGTAATATGTTTAAAAATTGACATAAAAGTGTAACACTTCAACTTTATCTGGAAATAAAGTTTATGTTAAATTAACATATTTATAATGTTAAATTTAATTAAAAGAAAATGTTATTTTACATTTTTTATGATAAATAACAGAATAGATATGTCGATTTAATATATGAAAACTGTTATAGAGAGAAAAATAACACAACTTATCTGTTCATTTTAACATATAACATGTATTTCATCAAAAATTCGTGCATTTACATATTAATTGTGTTGTTTTAACTCTTAGAAACGGTGAATATTAACTCAACGCAGAAATGTCAAAATAACGCAATAATAATATGTTACATTAACATAGGAGTATGTTAAAAATTTAACACAAAAATTTTTACACGAGAAAATTTTAACAGAAATACAAAATGATTTTTATTGTGTACACTTTGCAAAATATAATATTTATCATTTATTGATTATGAATAATTGCAGTAATATGTAATATACACTTCTTCTAAATACAATATCTTTTCTAAAAATCAATGTATTTTAAATTGATAAATTTTTTCATATGATCGTTTTACTTTGTTTCTCTTTTATTTACTTGTTTCATTGTTACTTTTCATCAATTTTTATATTTCTTATTAATAAATATTTGAAATAACATGTGGCTGGAAGGAATAATAATTTTTTTATGATGCATGAGAAAAAAATGAAGTTTTCAAACTTTATGTAAATGTTTATTTGTTATATTTCAATATTTGTAAAATGCATGAGTTTCTAATGCTTTTCTCATATAGCTTCATTTTAATGTATAATATATAATTTTAATGTATAATATATAATGTATAATATATATAACTCCATTTTATCTATAATTAGTGACAAAATTCAAAATGACAATATTTCTCATTATTAACAATAAAATAATTAATTAGATAAATCAATTGTAAAACATGATTGATTAAATTAATAAATAAATTTCCTAATGTTAAAAAACAGCTATAATTTAATTTAACAAATGTAACTCAAAAGTATCATTAATGATTCTAAATATTCTCAAAATATAATTAATAAAGAATGAAAACGAATATAATAACAGACTAATAAGAATCAGCATGCAACAAATTGTGTCTTCAGAAAAGTTTAATTATCAAAATATGTTTCTTTTCAATCTTTTTTCATCTTCCATCAGCATCTGTTAGATTGTTCTATACTAACGAGATTTGATATTGATATTGTCGTACAGAGGAATCTTTATTTTAATAGTTAACAATTCTCAAAAGGCATTTATACAAACATTGAATTCTCTTTTGGATCTGTTGAATATTCTTCTTTCTTTGGATTCTACTTTGGTCTTTTTTAAAATCTTTTTTAAAGGTTCTGCTTCTCTTTTGCTCTTATTGCTAGTTAAAAATGATTAGTTTGTGAATTTATTTTGTCTGAGGTTCAAAAGAGCTTTTACAATTAGATGAGATTAGATGAGAAATCTTTTTTATTTAATGAATAAAAAAATTACATTTAAATTTAGATTTTATTTAAGATTGAGCATAACATCAATAAATTTTTTTCAATTAAAATCAAACGGTAAATGTCTAGATTAATGGGAACTTCAATGACCTTGATATATATTATCAACGTCACGACCCTGAATAATTTCCAAAAAGTTTTAGCCGCGGTTATTGTTCATTAAAAAGCTTCTTAGCATTACCATGTTTGTTTTATCCGTTTGTATCTTATTAGAGTTGTATCTATTTATTGTTATTAATATAAAAAAATTTACATTATAAGTTGATATAATATTTTTTAACATCATATTAATATAATCATTATTTATCATTAATAATTAAAATGTTAAAAATCTATTCTTTTTTTCAATACAATTATAATATATTTTTTATGTATAATATAAATATTATACAAATTTTGTTACAAAAAATATTAAAAATCCTTTTTAACGTTATTTTGCATTGCAAATTTTTCTAAGATGTGTATGGTAAATATTTTTATTTACAATAAAATACTGAAATAAATATAATCATGAAAATGTCTGTATAAAATTCAAAACGTTTATATTTCTGAAAAATCATATATATTTAATACGTCAAAAAATATTATTGTTAAAAAGTACATGAAACTTTTCAAAGTTATATATCATTATCAAATATGAATTACAATAATAAATCATTTAAATATATATTATTAAATAATTTTTTGAAAATATATTTCCAAAAAATATATATACAGAAAATTATATACTATAAATATATATACTATATTATATACTATATATAATTATATACTATAAATATATATACTAAAATTTTAAAAATAGACTAGTTGAAATAGTTACTGAAATAGAGACTAAAATAGTTTGTTAAAAAATAACTAATTTAAAAATGTAAATATAAATGTAAAAAGTTAAGTATAGTTTTGTATATCATATATAAATACTTAAATGTATATTTATCAACATTTAAATAACTTAAAATTCTTCTATTTCATAAATTTCTTATTTAATCGGCATTATAAGTAACGTTTTATTTTACGTGTAAATTCTATTAAAAATTCGAAATATAAAATCTTGTTATATATTACAATTTTAAATAATCAACAAAAAATTCTTAAAAAATTTTGTTCTGAAAATATATTCTAAATATATAAGAAAGTATTCACATCTATGTGTGCAACAAAAAAAATGTAGCAAATAAAAAATTGTTAAATATTATTAAAAAATTAACTTTTCACAAATAGATATAAAATTAATATAGTTAGTATAATAATTGATTATGTGCTATCAATTTATAATCGGCGCGATTATATATGAGTTATATATAAAATTTCTTCAATTTTCATAAAACATAGATTGTGCTAAATATATATAATAAATATCTATTATTTTGACATTTTTCCTAACTTATGTATATAATAATATTAAATTATTTTGTATTATTTTGAATAAAGGTATAAGATAATATATGATAATAAATTTTTAATCGTTTAAGTTACAACTTTGGTAAAATAGTAAGCCAATATAGATGTTTTTTGATATATTTTATATATATTTTTTATTTTTGATATATTTTTTATATATTTTCCGCATACATAAAACCTACTATATTAAAAATGTAAATACTATATGTATTTTTTTATTACTTTTCATTACTTAATAAATAATTTATATATTATATTTTTTTATATGTTATAAAATACTTTAGATAATGTATCTTAAAAGTAATCGGATATATTAAATTTTCATTCTATAATTTAATCTGAAAACTGTTGTCATGTATGAATAAGAATTTGCAGAAAATTTGCAGGAAACTTTCTTCTAAATTATATATTATATATAAAACTTATTTTTTTAAAAGAAATTCTAATTCTAGAGTTGATTATAAATTGATAGCATATAATTAATTTACTATGCTGATTTCATATTTCTGTTTTGAATAGTGGATTTTTTAATAATCATATTTTAAATAATTTTGTAATTTTTAAACTTTTATTTATTGCACATACAAGTTCGAAATCTTTTTATAAAATTAGATATATATATATATATATATATATATATATCTTTTTATATATTTAGCATATGTTTTTATATTTTTAAAAGATTTTTTAAGTAGGATTTTGTTTTAAAAAACGAATTTTGTTACAAATTATAATCGTTTAAAGTGCTTATGTGATTATGTGGGCTTATGTGATTTATAATTTTAATTCTTTTTATGTAGCTTTATGCTAATAGATATTCGGATTGTAATTATTAATAAATATTATATTAATGTGAAAAAAAAATATACATATGTTTAGACATATTAAAATTTTTATTTTTGCTTTCATGTGTGTTATTGTCATAAATGGAAACATTATATATGTTAGAGTTAATGTTATTTATTACTATAATACAAATTAATGCATAAACTCCTTATTTTTTTCCAACATTAAAATAAAGACATTATTATTATTAAGACTGCAAGTATTTATATATTAAAAATAAAAACCAAATAAATATAATAATACATTTCTAAACTATTCTATTCCATAAAATCAAATTTTCCATTTCATGATAATTAAATTAAATACTAATATATTTTGGAAAATGATAAGGATGATTTTGAAAAAAGATTTATATAAATATTTTATAATCACAATGTTTTTTTAGCACATAATATTATTTAATTAATATAAATATACAAAAATAGATATGTACATATATGTATACATATATATTTATTTCTTCTAGATATCAGAATGAAGACCGTGACCTCGAAGCTCAAATGCTAGCTAAAGGCCTGAGATTAACGCCAATAAAGAAATGTGGTTCTAAATATTCAGTCTAAAATGTCGGAGTTACGCTTCTGTATATATATATATATATTTCTGCTACAATTTTTTTATTGTAACACTAGAGAAAAGTATATAAATATCTATAAGAATTGTAAATAATTTAAGCTATTATCACGTGCGACATGGAATTTGAAGATAGAGGATTCATATATGCCTAGAACTCTTCTGCCTGTTTTCGATATATTCATTATATGTAATAAACGTATCTTTTTTACACAAATATAACTGTTTATTTTTGACGCAAAAAATAACTAATTGGAGTATTTATTTCATCAATATAGAATTTAATTGTGTTTATCATTTTTTTAAAAAAAGAGAAAATACATTTTTCTTTCAGTTATATTAAAGTGTATAATCATATTATTTAATTTATTATACACAAGATGTTTCAAAAATTTAATATAAATACCCTAAAAATGTGAGAATATGAGACTAAAATAACAGATTAATGACATACTAACTAAAGAATATTCTTTAAGCATTTCTTTAAGCAGATTAACTAAAGAATGTTGAGGTATTTATCTTAAATTTGACATTAACGAAACTTTTACGAATATAATGTATTTTATCGATGGGGAAAAAAGTTTGTGATAGATATATACAATATTTTTACTTCATACTGTTTGACATTAAAAAACTTTCAATTTAAGAAATTAGTAAGATTATCGTGTAAAACATAAATTTAAATTTTCCAGCCTAGAATTAAACGAATTAGAAAGAAAAAAAGATGGGAAAGAATGCTTCATTTCAAGAAAAATTAATTTTATTTTGAAACTGATTACACTTGCCTACAAGCAGTGTTTGCTGGTATTCAGATAATATTATTTAGATAATTATCTAGATAAAGAAATGAGTCATCTTTATCTTTAACTAGATGAAGAAATACAAAGTATCTTTATCTATCTCAGATAAAAATATGTCATCTTATTTAAAAATTATCTAAGATGACGTTTTCATTATGCAAAAGAGTTTTCCAGACAGGCTTCTAAAAATCTATAATCTCTAAAATATCTTAAATATATTTTTTATTTGGAAAATAATATTACAAATATACTTTATCTTGTACTTGTTTACTTAAATTTGTGCAATGCATTAATGTATATTTTATAAAAATAATATATGTATTGTTACACATTGATTATTATATTATTAATATATTATAAAAATATATTATAAATATAAATTAATAAATAAATATTTACTATATTATTTATATACCTTTTTGTTATTATTTAAATATTCTTTAGGAAAAGAGAAAGAATATGTGTTTATGATTTTAATATCCCATTTATAATCTGCTGCGTCACATTTTTTATAAATATTTATAGTCTTATAAAATAAACAAAAATATCTAAATTATCGCAATAATCATCTCATCTTTTATTTAGATTAAGTAAAAGCAAAATCATATTTATCTCATCTAAGATAAATTTACATATTTTTATCTTTATCTTTATCTAGATAATTTTGAAATTATCTACAGCAAACGCTGCCTACAAGATAAGAAAAACTGAAAAGAACAATTAAAAAAAATAATTTTTATCTCCTGAAATTGTAATTCGAAGCATTTAACGTTAAATGCACTAGGTCTCCTATTTTACATTCGACATTTCCCGCGTTTTGCCAATGCTCTATTTCGATTGGCGAAAGCGAGAGGGAGGGGGAACGCGTCGAGTGGGGGATCTACCCTCATCGAGTGACGAAAACGATGCTAGCGCATCGCATCAGCGGCATCAGTCGCATTTAGTCGATCGTGTACATCGTGTGTGTTACGTTCCACTCGTTACTTCCCAGTTTGCATCCCTCTATACAAAGAAAAAAAAAAAGAAAGAGAAATTGCGCGCGCGCGTAAAACCAATATTTGTTTTATACGAACAAAAATAAGTGACTTACGTATTTAGGAGTAATTATACTCTGTCATCGATTGATTGTGAACGCGCAAGATGAGTACCCCGGTGAAGAAAGTGCCCATTCATCTGCAGGTGAGTTCTGCGCGTTTTGCACCTGTAAATTTTTCGCATTCGGTCTCGTCTTTCGAGAAAGAAAAAAGCTATTTTTATACGCGTTACGTCTAAAAGCGAAATGGTGGACGAACATGGTAGCGATAAATTGCGATCTTTCATTGCTATAATTTGTTCTATGGTAAAATAAATTTTTCGATTCGGCTTCGCGTATTGATTTTTTTTTGTTTTAGTACCGTACATTTAATAGTGTTTGGACAAATCACTCTCAACAATAATCGAATAATTAAATCAGAGCATCCTTTATTTAAAATATATGCAAAATCTCTAAATTATATGTTTTACAATTTTATTGATTCATGAATAAAAAGTTCTTTACTTTTTTTTTTGACTTCTATGTATTTTTTCCTTATTTTTTTTTTATAAATTTCGGGTCGACTATTTTCAGTTATTTTTTATATTTATTTCTATTTTCACTTATTTTTTTACATTTATTTCTTTTAATGTAATATTTTAGAAAATATATATTTTTCATGTAAAACTTATATTTGTTATTTTCTGCGCATTATATATTTTACGATATTATATAACGTATCAAAACCGCCCTGTGAATTGTTCCTTTTTTTCATAGCAATGAGGGAAGCTCCGTTTGAATATTTTTTTACTTCGAACAAAACTTGGTAGAATAAATTTTTAGATGTGTTATAATTGTAAAAGTTTTTATTCTTAAAAATTATTTTCGAAAGGAGAAGAAAATTTTCATCTAGCATGCAGATTAAACATTTGCAATTCGGAGATTATTAATTGAGAACTTCAAGTTCAAATACTTGTTGCATCAACATCATTAAAAGGCTTATTTGTTAGCTTAATTTAATTTTACTTTTATTTTATTTTCTTAAATAAATTGAAAGTCACTTCTTAACTTTATTCACTTCTATTCGAGAATACTTTACAACTGTTTTTATTTTCAAATTCTTTTATTTCATTTTTTATATTCAAATTGTTTTATCTAAAATCTTTATTTTTTTTATAATAACAGTTAATTATATTTTCTAGAATTATTAGTTTTATTACAAATTACTTCAACATTCTATTGACATTGAGGACTTTATCAATTTGTACATATCTATATTTGTAGCTTTATCAATTTGTATCTATATTTGTAGCCGAGAAATAGAGAATTGCAAAAAATTTTTTTAATATGAAAAGAGAAGATTTAATTAAATACGTACGCAAATTTTCTGTTACCTAACAACAATCTATTTTCAGCAAATCAGCATGCTATTTGCATGCAAAATCGTGCTTTCGCTTTTTTTTATGCATTCGTTGTTGATACACATATAATCAATCGACGCTGGCGATAAATAGCCATTTTGAATGATAAGAAACGCTATCACGCCCTATGCTCTCTTTGATGAAGATTTGTTGCGATTGCTATATGATCCGTATATTATATAGGCTGAAGCTCAAGTTAGTCATTAGAACTGATGTTATAAATTCATGTTAGTCGCTATGAAATAATTAATTTTTTTATTGATAAAAATAAATTGCTAATAAAAAATAGTGTATGTATTTATATCAATTATACATTCATGATTCTAAATGATATTTTTTAGTTATATTAATAAGCTTGATTAATATAAAATAATTTAATTGGCGTGAGAATCGTAATCTGAATGGTACAAGTATTTTTATTCGAAGCCGTTTATTTTATTGAGGCTGTAATTTGCATATGAAATAATGTCTACTAATCGAAAAAATCCGGTCTGTAATCGAAATCGTGACTAATACATATTATTTCATCTATTTTCACACATATATATATATGTGTGTGTGTGTGCGTCTTGTTACATAAATAACAGAAAATATGAAATTGATTTTTGAGTGCGTATATATACAGGGTGTCCCAAAAGTCCCGGACCGGTCGAATATTTAAAAAACTATGCACTTTAGAAAGAAATGTTTCATACAAAAGTTGTATCGTTTGAAGGGGACCATCAGATAGTCACAATGATTTGACATGGGAGAATCATTTGAAAGTCACGTGAAGATCACCGTCAATTTCTTAAATGGAACTCCCTATTTTTTATTACATATTCGTGTAGCTTATCTCGAGAGCTTTCCAAAACACTATGATAAAGTATTTCTTCATTGAGTACTTTTCGAGTTATGAGGCTTGAAATCATTTTTTAATTTTGCATAAACCATAAAATATCTAGTAAAATATTTATTTTCCGATTATCTTACCTTAATAATTTTATGTACAAAATAATGAGAGGAATTAATTGGTGTAAAGAAAACACATAGTTGTTTTTAAGAAGAAAATATGTAATTTGCAATTAACAATTACATATTTTTTTTTAAAACAACTATGTGTTTTCTTCACACCAATTGATTCCTCTTATTATTTTGTACATAAAAGTATTAAGATAAGATAATCGAAAAATGAATATTTTACTAGATATTTTATGGTTTATGCAAAATTAAGAAATGATTTCAAGCCTCATAACTCGAAAAGTATTCAATGAAGAAATACTTTATTATAGTGTTTTGGAAAGTTCTCAAGATAAGCTACACGAATATGTAATAAAAAATAGGGGTTCCATTTAAGAAATTGACGGTGATCTTCACGTGACTTTCAAATGACTCTCCCATGTCAAATCATTGCCACTATCTGATGATCCTCTTCAAACCATACAACTTTTGTATGAAACATTTCTTTCTAAAGTGCATAGTTTATGAAATATTCGACCGGTCCGGGACTTTTGGGACACTCTGTATATGTGTGTGTGCGTCTTGTTACATAAATAACGGAAAATATGAAATTGATTTTTGATAATAGTGCATATATATATATATATATATATATATATATATATATATACTAGGATAGTTTATTTACGATGCAGAGGGTTTTTAATAAATTGAGGAACATAATTTTTATGATGCTTGACTTGAGATGAATTTATAATATAATATTATGCGAAATTATTTAAATTTTTGTGGAATTAATTCTAAAGTATTATTACTTTTTAGATGTTTAAATAATTATAATAAATAATTTTTTAAACAAAAAAATTAATTGTTATGTTTTGAGAACTTTTCGATATATTCTTTCCTTATAATATCTTTATTGTACCATTTATTTTATAATGAATATCAATGCAAATCTCATAAATATCTTATATAGCATGAAATTATTAGTTACATTCAGTCAATCAAAATGCTGAAGAATAGCGATTAATTCACACGATCACGTCTGCGACGTGCAACTCGATATTTTACTATTTTATATTTTGTTATATATTAATACATAATTGTAAAATTGTTATTAAAGCTTAAAAATAAAAGTATTAAAAATATAAAAAGTATGAAAGATATGTTACTTCTATTTTTTTTCTTCATATTTTATATTAATGATACATTGAATTATATTAATAACCATTACCTATAAAATAACGAATGTTTGCGAAGAATATATTATATAATATAGTTATAAAAAAGCGCGTATTGATTGAAACATAAAAATCATGAAGTAATGCTTACGTCGCGATTTTATGTAACTATCATAAGATATTTAAAAAATATAAAGATATACTGTGTGCACCTTTATTTACCAATAAGAAAAAATTGTACTATTAATTATACTCGTGTCGACGTGCTATTGTCAGGATGAAATCTTATATTTTGCTTTTAAATATATATTCACTTTTATATACAACAGAAGTGTTAAAACATAATGTAACTTTTGTGGAAGAAAAATATAACATTTCAGCTCCAGTATGAGAAACGACAGTAATGTTGTCCAGTGTCACAATTGATGTATTATTGATTCAAACGACATTGTAACTTTTCATTAAAGTTACTAATCTTTAAGTGCTACTCAATTTTTACAAAGATAAGAATCGGAAAATTTTAAATTGTATAGGGAAAGAAAATAAAATCTTTCTATTAAGAATTATTATATTTTGAAACTATTTTAAGATAGAAATTGTTAAAATTGTAAAGAGTCTGTATACTACTGGAAATATTTTTGCATTTTGATTATTTTATGTTAATTTTACCTGTTAATGATGGACTCGATGTTGCGTTTCATTAGCACGTGCTACTTAGCATCGATTGAAAGCAAAAAAAAATTCCCATCCTCTTTCTCTGACTCTGCAAACAGAATAATCATTGTATTATGTTTCAAACAAACAACTGTTTCCAAGCACTAACTGTACTTAATATAACAATTGATGTAAGATGTTTATTAGATTTTCCTTAACGTGGAAATATTAAAATTACAATTATATATTAATACAATTGCATAAACTTCTAATCTATCGAATTTTTATAATGTTTTTTTTAATAATTATAAAATTATTTAATAATTATTTAATAATTATAAATATATTTAATAATTATTTAATAATTATAAATAATTTTTTAATAATAATTTATAATAATATTTTTTTTTATAATTTTTTTATAATCGGTGAATACCATCGAGATAAAAGAGTTATGATAAAAAGTTATTTATCAGGAACCTATTCCTCGACACTTTCCTTGATTTTACAATACATCCAACTTCTAATATCAGATCATGTATCAAACAGAAAAATAATTTCGATAAATCTATTTATTAAATTTAAATCTATTTATTGGATTTATTGATTATGTGCTGAGAAATAAAAGGCTTAAAATTTTTCTAAAAATTTTAACTTATTGTTAGACAAGAGAAAATATATGAAATATTAAAAATTCTGTAAAGAAAGTAAATTCTTAAGTCCTTCAAAATCTCTTATATTAAATCTCAAATGAAGAACGTAACAGAAAATGAAAAATCGGAGAGAAAACCACGGCACTGCGACGCAGAATCAGGAGAGCAAGTTGAGAACACGTAGCCGCCGAATCAATAGTTCGTCGACTCGACTCGTCGACCTAATGTTGGGAAAACTCTCCCCCTAGCATTTCCTTCACTATACATTTTGCAATATTACTTCGTAAATTTTATTATTTATTGTTATTTAATTTATTAT